GGATGTTAACCCTTTGGTGCTCTGAAATGTGTCCAAAGCAGGGCCCCATTCCCTGCTGTCTCTCACATGCAGCTGCTCAGGGTCCAGTGCTCTCATCCTCTGGCCTCTCAAAAGAGCAAGCACCCCTGAGGATGCTGCTTGCAAGTTGAACTGTAGCATTGAAGGAAAAGTATCTCACTCCACTGCACAAAAGCAGCAAGAAAGAGAGGATTCCTGGCACAGCAGGAAAGCCAAGATGTCCCTGGAGTAATTCCAAAGTCTTGCAGGCTGATGTATTTTTACAGCATCACAGAAACATGAGATCTTATTTTTCAAGAGTCCTGATTATGGGTTAGTGCCTTTTGTGCTTTCTTTGTGCTTTCTTTTAGATATGAATTGGTTAAGAAGTATTGAACTGACCTGTTACTGAGATTTGTCTGTGCCAACCTACCACTTTTTGTTGGCATGTATGTTTAAAGCACTATTTTTCTCTGTATTGAATTTCATTCTTAGATGGCTGAAATAGATTTAGAAGTGTGAGTATTTGTTGAGCAATGTTTAGGATCCAGCACCATTTTTTGCCGTTTAACCATCATAACAAAGATATACTCAGTGGACATTCTGAATAAAATTCCATTGTATGGAATTGTCCTCAACTGTGAATTACATTTTTCATGGCAGATTTACTTCCTGACAGAGAAAATTCCATATGTAGCTGCATTTCTATTACAGATACAGTCTTCTGCTAGCCAACAGATAAGCTTTTTATCAGCAGCCATGCTTCTGTGGCACTCTTCTGGGCCGCTGCCAAGCTTTGCCGTCCTTCCTTTCATAAGCAGACCAATGTGCAAATATTTGAAAACCCTAAATAATATAATAGCTACTTGAATGCATTCTCGAAAAAAAAAACAACACCAAACAAAATCAATTTCAAAACTCTTACACCTACATAATGTGCCTAATGCAAATCTACAAAACCAAGGAGCACAGCTGCCATTTCCAAAGCTCTCTGACCCACAGACCATATAGATCAGCTTTTCCTCTAAGCCACAGTGGAAGTCTACCTTCCTATGCCTCTTTGCCACATCAACCCTCAAACAGAACATGCAGTGTCAGCTCCAGCCAGAGCTGGTAATGCTAGGAAGACAAGTCTGGGTAAAGAACATGATGAAGAAAAAGCAGACAGGAGAGATTATACTGCGCTGTGTTTTTTATCATGCATGGGAGCCGAGGCATGTGGGGTTTACAGCCACTGGTTAGAATCCAGCCTAAAATTCAGAGATGGGCAGCAGGTGCAGCTTTGTTGTCCACTGTGGTTTCTGGGGGCATCCTCTGCTGACCCTTGAGCCCCCTGCATTTTTAACGAGGCAGTGGAACTCTTCAGCTCACACTGCCACACAAGCTGCTGGCTTTAGCCCAAGTGCATTTTATCTTCTCTGCTCTTGTGAACTATTTGTCTCTTCTCCTTCTTGCAATAGAATAAGAACCTGTGGAGATAAGATCCTTTTTCTTCCCTGTTGCCCTTCAGATGAGAGGATGTGCGCTTGGAGTGATGCCCATTAGCGGAACGTATGTTGGAATACTGGAATCAAAAAATTCCCCATGGAGAAACAGCAGTGGTAAAAGAAGGAAACTGAATAAAGTGAAGTGACCTTGGTGGACAGCTATTGAAGGAAAAAAAATGTGAAAAGAAAGAAGGAAATGGGTTAATGTGGGAGGGCAATATAAAATATTAAATAGAACAAGAAAAGGAAGTCAACAAAAATGTCACAACAAGCATAATGAGAAGGCATAAGCAATAAAGCAAGAGAGGAAAGATTAATCAAATCTCTCCTTACTGCAGGGTTGTACCACAACTTGCCTTATGGCTTTTTTAAAATGTAAATCTATAAATAAACCTCATTGGCTTTCTTTTCCCCATTGGGGGGATATAAAAGATGCTAATAAGTTCTTACAAAGGGTAAATAGTTTAAGGGGATGATACTAGTGATACTGAAGTATTAAAATGAAGATCAAAGCTAGGACTGCCAGTATAGGGTCTTTAGGTTATCCATACACTGCTACAGCTCTAACAGATTAAAGACTCATTTGAACATAAAAAGATGAAAAATCATAGGGATCATAGCCATTATAATAGTGCCTTGATTACAAAACATAGTAAAGGCCCAATTCTTTCAGGCTCAGACCAAATAGTTCTTTATTAATAGTTCCATTAAAGTTAGTGGTATTATCTTGGTGGGATGTGTTCCTCATCACAAGTAAGAATTTCCAAGGTCAGTCTGCTCAAGCTCAGTGACATTTTTCAACTCTTAGACCAGTTTCCATTCTGACCCTTGGAGTAGTAAGGGTTACAGTGATTTTTTGACTGTTCATTTCTATCAGCAGCAGTGCAGTTATACACAGAAATACTTTTCACAAGGAGAAGAACCTGTCCTGTGCAACCTAAACTCATCATAACACTGAATATTGTTAAAGTAGGTGCTACTTCCAGCAGCAGTCTCTGGTGCCATGGGGATGAAGGTTTCTGCATTGAAACTCTACAACTCCTTGGCAACAAGGACTGTCCTGGGACCAGTAGGACAGGTAAACAAGTGTAGCTCTCCCTGCTCTCAAAGCCATTACTCTCTTGGGCATGAACATTTCAGACTCACTCAGAAGGTTAAAAAGACTCTGAATGATGTAAAAGTCACACCACAGAACAGAGAAGAACAGATCACATTTTTAAGCTCCATTTCAAATGTCACCTACTATAGGGATATGCTCTCAGGTGAAGTCAGGTTTGAGGAGAGAAGAAAAGTTGTGTTTGAAAGAGAATGTGCTTCTGAGATGGTTTATTTCTTGCCATTGCCCGTGTCAAGTGCCAACGATTCTAGGATTTTACATAAACTCTAGAGTAGAATTGGAAATGGATATGTAAAATTCAGTGTATTAGAACTCTGGAAATTGCAAGCCCCAGCTAAAAAGCAGCTATAAAAGGCAGTTGGTCAGGTTTGGTGTTCATACTTTTACATTTCCACCATTTGCCTGTCTGTTCATTTTTTCTCTGATGTCTCAGACCTGATGCTACTATTATGCACGTTATGATCATTGTCACTTTCCACACAGGACAGGTAAAGAAACAAGGCAAAAGTCCATGAAAAAGCTACCATGCCTTCATAATTACCTTTCAGATTATGGCTTGAACATAGACTTGAAATATGTGACTTGGATTCCCCTATAGGTCTGGAAAAAATCTTTAGAGTACTTCCACTCCTGCTGCTGACAGATGGTAGAGCAGAGAACAGCCACTATGAAGATAACAGTATTTCACCCACGGGTTTTTCTTACTATGCAGCAGCATAAGGTAGCTGTGAAATCAGGGGTGTTTCAGAACACTTCTTGCAGTACTGAGGTTTCTGGCTGGAGGTAGCCCAAACACACATTCAGTCTAGAAACTCTCAATCTCAGCACAGAGGTCATATAAAAGAAGAAGATACCTAGCCAGATGACAGGCAGGTTTATGTGGGTCACGGCTGTTTCTGCTGTGTGCCAGAGGCCAAACTTGCTGCTTTTCACCCTGAAATGGGGAGCTACAAAGCTTTAAACCCCTTGGGGATTTTTCCCCCTCAGCTTGTCATGAGAGTGGCTGGGCGAGATACAAAAAAGAATTCCAGAGAGGAAAGACTGAAAAAAATTTGAAGCTTTAATATATTCCTACTCTCTGACCCCATTCCTCCTTTTCTGTGCATCAACTGTTTTAACAATCTGGCAAAAGCAAACCCTGAAACAAGAAAACCCTTTCCTAACCAGCGTCACAAAAACCCTTGTCATTAACTGAGAAACCTTATGATGTTTTAATGCCTTATCTCTTCTTCTCTTTTCTTTTTTTTTTTTATTCCTTTTCATTCAATACCACTTAGTTACTAATTTTTAAAACAGCTGTTCTGAAAAGACCAGTTTGCATTTGAAAACAAACAAAAAATTAGGATCTGCTTATAGAATTGAGCTTAATATGGTAGTGGCTGTTAAACAAGATTGACGAAAAACAATAATAAAAATCAGTGAAATCACTCTTACATATAATCTCTTCACTATGAAATAAACCACTGCTACATCCACGCTAAGCATATGTAAACAAAACAGATGGGGGATTTCCCGCTGCTGGTTTCTTTCTCCTAAGGATGGTTATTTTCAGTTCATAAACTCTCAGCTGTCATTCCTGATTTATCTTCGCGGCAGATTCCTGTTGGGGTCACAGGGCTGGGAGCTGGGGCGATGTGGCACATCCCCCGCTTGCTGCGCTCTGCCGCCCCTGCCAGCCACAGTGTTCCTAGCTGGGGTTCGTGCTTCCCTTTTAACCCCTTTCTCATCCCTCCCTCTGTCAGTGCCTGACATTTTGTGCATCGTGGTTGTGCTCCAGCATGGTGAGAGCCGTGTGGAGGAGAGGTTTGAGCGTAGTTTGTTGGTGAGCATCCTTCTCTAATTCGGTGATGGGAGAGAGGGCTACTAGAGATAACGAAACCCCGGCTGCCTTCAATCTGCTACCCAAACAATGGCTTTATTTAAACATATGAAGAGATCGCTGCGTGGAGATCCTTTAAAAAATGTTTTAGCCTTTCCCAGCCATAGAGAGAGCGACCACTTTATTTGCTGGAAAGGGCTCTTCCCGCCCCTTCCTACTCCTGCCCTGCCTCCGCCCCCCGCCTCCCTTCCCCATATATTATTACTCTATGCCACCACCGCTAAAACAGTCCCACGGCGCTCCGTGCCCGCGCTACGGCCGGCGGCAGCCAGTCCGTGCCCCGGGCATCCCGCGGCCGCGGGGCGGCTCCCCCGGCGCCGGCCCGGCCGTGCGGAGCTGTCTCCGCTCGGCGGGTGCTGAACCGCGCGGGGCGGCAGCGGCGGCCGGAGCCCTCCCGGCCTCGCCCCGGCGCCCGGAGCGGAGGGAGGCGGCGGAGGGGGCGCCGCGGGGGATGGGGGGAGCCGGCGGCGACCCCTCGCCTCCCGCCTGAGGAGCCCGCGCACAAAGCCGCGCCGCGGCCATGGAAGAGGAGCTCAAGTGCCCGGTGTGCGGCTCGCTGTTCCGGGAGCCCATCATCCTGCCCTGCTCGCACAATGTCTGCCTGCCCTGCGCCCGCACCATCGCCGTGCAGACCCCGGAGAGCGAGCAGCACCTGCCGCCCCTGCTCCACTCTCGGGGCCCCGCGCCGCCCGCCGCCGCGCCGGGAGCGGGACTGGGAGCGGGGCCGGGAGCGGCCGCGGGCTCCGCCGCCTGCCTGGACTCGGAGAGCGCGGCGGGCGGCGGCGGCGGGGACCACGCGGACAAGCTGAGCCTGCACAGCGAGACCGACAGCGGCTACGGCTCCTACACCCCCAGCCTCAAGTCCCCCAACGGCGTGCGGGTGCTGCCGCTGGTGCCCGCGCCCCCGGGGGCGGCGGCGGCTCCGCGGGGCGCCGGCCCCGCCAGCTCCTCCCTCACCTGCCCGCAGTGCCACCGGAGCGCGTCCCTGGACCAGCGCGGGCTGCGCGGCTTCCAGCGGAACCGGCTGCTGGAGGCCATCGTGCAGCGCTACCAGCAGGGCCGCGCCGCCGCCGCCGCCGCCGCCAAGTGCCAGCTGTGCGACCGCAGCCCGCCCGAGCCGGCCGCCGTGCTGTGCGAGCAGTGCGAGGTGCTGTACTGCGCCGCATGCCAGCTCCGCTGCCACCCGGCCCGCGGGCCCTTCGCCAAGCACCGCCTGGCCCCGCCGCCCGCACACCCGGGCGCCCCCGGCGGCGGCGGGGACGGCGGCGGCGGGAAGGGGGCGGGCGGCGGCCGCAAGCTGCCGACGTGCGCCGAGCACGACCTGGAGAACTACAGCATGTACTGCGTGAGCTGCCGCAGCCCCGTCTGCTACCAGTGCTTGGAGGAGGGCAAGCACAACAAGCACGACGTGAAGGCCCTGGGAGCCATGTGGAAGCAGCACAAGGTGAGTCCTGGCAGCCGGCCGGGAGCTGGGGTGATACCCAGAGCTGGGGTGATGCTCAGCACTGTGGTTTGTTCATCCCAATGCCCCAAAAACGGGTTGCAGTTTGTGGGACATGAGGTCCTTCATGTCCGTCATCCTCTCAGACTTTTCTCCCTTCGGCATGGTGCTCGTAGGTTTTTGGCCCTTCCTGACTTCCCGCTGACCCTGCAGCCTCTGCTCAGGGTTGGAAAACCCAGACTCCCTCTCGTGTTGGACTCACCTTGACCACTGAGGTTCCGCCCAGTCTCAGGCAGATAGCTGGAATTAGCAAGTCCATCTCACCAACTTGTTTGCCTTCCACAGGGTCCTTAGGCATCCTGTCCTCAGCTTTCCCATGCTCTCACAGTGGCAGCAGCTACCTGTGAGGAGACAGGGTGGTTGTTCCTTCCTTTCACCACCTCCCTTTCATCCAGGACTCTGTGCAAGCTGCCACAACTCTTTGTCAACAAGGGAGAGTGGCCCACAGCTACCCAAGTGTTTTAGACAAGAAAGCATGGTACAGATGATCATTGACACTGGGTGTTTTTCTGGGCCTTAAAGAGGTCTCCTCCCACTCAGTTCCCAAAGAAGCCAGGAGTAATGGCTGGAGGGATTTTCATGATACAAAGATAAATAAGGAATTGTAGATGGGGACTAGGGACAAGTAAAGCTTTTTCTGATTCAGATATTGTCACTGTCTGATTCATGCTTCCCTGCAAGTGATGCTCCCTACCCCTCCCTGGATTCCTTTGTGGAGAGGTCAGAACCATTTGCTTGGCTACGCAGGGGTTTAGTGAAGTCTGGGAGAGCTGGTGGGTCACTTGGTCGTGCTTTCCTTGCTAAAAATAAGGCTTTGCAACCATGTGAATAAAGAGCAAGATGTGGCCTTAGAAGTTGAAAAAATGTATGAAGTTAGTTCTGTCTTGCTGAGAATGATGGATCCTGGAAAAATGATTAGTTCATACATATGAACTTAGAGAGGGGACTTCAATAACAGCTGAGAACAATCCCTTGGAGCTTCCTGCTGTATTGGGGTTAAAGGACTTCTCCCACAGCTGTGCAAAGAGCACTTGACCAGCTCTGCTGGCTGCTGGATTCCCTTCTTTTTACTCTCTACTTGCAGTTAGCAGTGGAGAAAGCACAGAGAGATCCTTTCAGACACTGCAGGAAAGGTCAAAATCAAGACTGGTGTCAGCACTATCTATCTTAGCACAAGATAGGCTGAGGTATTTGGCAAGACAAAAAAACTACTCTCTATTTTAAGATCCAAAGAAGATGCCCCTTGGGGTGATCTGCTTTGTTGATCCATCCAAGAAGAAAGACAAACTTCTTCTGGAGGTGTTTCAGTTTGAATGTTCTGCCAGCAGCTCAGCCATCATTCCTCCCTAACATGATGAGTGCTTGTGCAGATAAGTTCTCTTGCAGATTAAACATTTGCAGCTGCTGTTCATATCCCAGTGTCAGAATCCACTTCTGAGCAGAATTGTTTTGATGAGCAGGGTCTGAGTTAACAGTTCAAGTGTGGCTGATGTTTTGGAGGGCATGAGAGACCAGCTTGTGATGTACTATGATCTACCTTGAGTTAAAACTGTTTGATGCCTTTTGGAACATGACAGTCCAGTGTAATCAAAGTTCAGAATCAATAATTTTGTCTCTTTCCTACTGTCAAATATTGAAAAAACCCTTTTGTCTGGTATTTTTTACTGCATTTTTTTCTATGACTGAGGTATCACAGAACATTATTTTTCTTTTGATTTGCATATTCAATCAATGTCAAAATTCTTGTGAAAAGATAGCCTCAAAATTAAGTAATTTGGGGACTCTAAAATTATGCTCTTGTGAATATTATATTTCCCAGAAAAATGTGCTTAGCACAGAATAAATATAATGGAACTGAATAGCCAGGTAGCCTAAATCATCATCTCACATTCATTCAGATAAATTGTTTTGGAATTAGATACTTCTGCTTAGAAATAGTTTTCTGATACAGCAATTTCTACAAGTTTATTACCTGCAGTTACTTTGGCCAAACCATAAATTACTTACACTGACTGGCATGCCAAAGGTATTTTAAGGCTTATGTGTTCTCTGCAGATGCTCCAGGCATAGCTGGTAGAGGCAGCTGAAAGGTTTGTTCTTAGACCAAGGAGCCTTCCTTGTGTTAGCCCTTTGTTTGGCTCCTCCTTTGTCTGGGCCTTATTACAGTGACCTAGTGGCAAATTACAGAGTGTAAAAGCTTGTCCAGGCAGTGCTGCAGGCCATGCAGAGAAATGTGCCCTTACTCTCAGCTGTACTGCTGGTACCAAAGCTGGACTGGACCGGTTGGCCCCTGTTAGTGGTGCAGGTTCCCCATTGCACTGCTGTAACTTCTTCTACAGACAAAGTAAAATTGGTGTAAAATGACAACAAGGCTTCAATGGCACAAATCTATGAAAATCCCCTGGTTTAGCTGGACTTGATTATATTCACTTACCTAAAAAGTGCATCTGGACCAGCAGTTCAAGGTTATTAAGAAAAACTCTTAGTCTTCTGTTGAAGTTTAATCCTTTCATGTCTTCTTAGCAAGTACAGTGGTACTGTAATCACATTTAGGTAGGACTTCAGACCTATGAATGTGAGGAATGATGGGGGACACATTTCAGCTCTGCCCATTCTGAAGGGTTAACTATACATATGCACCAAAATGCAGAAAACACCCACAGCTGGAACTGTCTGTGAAGGGCAGGCAGGCAGGCAAGTGCAGGAGTCCTCATGCCTGCTTTTATTTCCTGACCTAAAGACTTGTGTTCCCAAAAATATGTGGGCTCTATGAGAATTCAACACCAGGACAAGCTTATCTAATCAATAGTCAACCTGCTGCTAAAGAGAGATGGAGGGAAGGCAAGCTAAATGAGCATGAACTGTTTGGTTGAAAAAGGACATGGCCATTATCTGGTTCATTTTCTGAAATCAGAGGTCTTCCCTGCCCATCTGGCTTCAATTACTTATCCTTGTGATCTCTGTGTTCCTGTAATTGGTGGAAATAGAAACTTGGTCTCCATCTCCAGCCCTCAGATTATTGGTTGCAAGACCAGGTATGAAAGTGAGAATAACACCAGGTGGAATACCCTTTGTCAGGAGTTATTAATTGTCCCAGTCAATGGAGCTTGTTACATCTCACTTTGGCTTACAATAAATATTTCTGTGGTATGAAAGATTGCTCTGGGTGTACAGGGCATTTTTTTATGGCTTGGTTGGTTTACTGCAGGCTTAGTCATGTAGCTCCACTTGATTTTAATGAGAAGTGCATGACTAAGTTCCTCTGATTTGCAAGGTATCTTTTACAAATGCTTGGAAAAACAAGGCTATTATCTCTCAGCGGACTTCACAAATGGAAATCTGGCCTTCTACTTGGCTTCATGCTGCAGTAAAGTTAATGCAACCACAGGTTTTAATGAACAGATCAATTTGCTTATGAGCCTTTTAGCCAGTGACATGGCTGAGTTTCTGTTGCAGCTCTCTGTGATGGGAGTGTGCCAGGAGTGACTGTGCTGATTGCCATTGGTATATATGCTGCTTACAATTCATCTGTGGTGGTTTTCTACAGCTGCTGTGATGCCCACATGCTGCCTTTGTCTCTTCTGATCTGGAGAAATGAACTTTGAGATGATTTGAGAGCTGGGGCAGATGTTGGGAAAGTGGAAGTTTCATTTTTGTTGGGACCAACCATTGGTTTTGATTTGAAAGAAAGGAACCCTTTCCTCCCTGGGACAATTTGGTCAGGACGGTCAATGACAGAGACTATAATGCTTCTGCCACCTATTTCTTTCTTGCTAACACCCCAGCTGCTTTGTCATGTGCTGCTTTAACCTTGTTCTGTGTCATCTTGACAAATCAAAGGCTCAGATGTACCCTGTGAGTGGAACAGAAAGTGTGGTCAAAAACTTCAAACTTTGGCAAAAGTGACCAGCCTGTGTGGGCTGACCTCAAGGCCTGATTGTCTGATGTCGCAGAAAACAGAGATTTTTTTCATGGACCTGGAGTTTGCTTCTGTTGCCTCCCATAGTGTTAATATCAAACATCATCATTTCAGGTTTTTGTGCATTTACAAGGGTTTGTGTAAGAAAATAGCAGAGATTTAAATACTGAGAAATAGGCACAGTAATGTGTCTTCCCCTTACATTTGTAATGAATGAATTTTGTAAAGCATATTCTCATTTAGGTTTTAGCACTAATGTGCTTTCAAGGGGCCGCTTTCCAGCCTCTTGTTGCCTTGTCTTACATTTGTCCAGGGTTGCTCCATCCCTGGTGCAGAACCTCTCAATGGCATCAGCCAGTTCTTTGAGTACACTTAGTTAATCCTCTTGGGACTCCTGGACTTAGGGATCCATCTGGAGTAGAAAATCCTGCACAAATTTGGGGTTGACTGGGAGTTAATCACTCTCACAGTCATGATCCTCCAGCTCAGGACACTGGGACCCTAAAATGCATCACTGGGTCTGCCAGGGGCAAAACCACTCTTTCCTTCCTGTCCTTGAAGTTCATCGACAAGCCTCTGGCTCAGCTTAGAGATCTCAGGTGTTGGCTGAGGAAAGGGAAGGTCAGGCCAAGAGTGTGGACTTAAAAAAGACATTCTATGTGCCTTACCAGTCAAAATTAGAGGAAGGGTTTCTTCCAACTTTTGCAGAAACAATCACCCATTTGTTGAGTTGGAACATGGGAAACTGGAGCCCCAAAGGACATTACTATGAAGTCTGAGAAGGGAGATTTGTCTTTAAAGTCCTAGTGTATCTCAGGTTTGGTAGGATCTACCACATTTATAAAGATTTCAGACTTGGATGAAAAAGAAGTGTCATTTTGGAAAGCACTTGGGGATTTTTCAGCATGACAGATGCTACTGTGTAAGTGTAAGACTACTACCTCCTTATAAACGTGGGTAGCTGTTTTATAAAAAGGTGTTTGACTTACCAAGTTGCTGCAATAAAGTGGAACATGCAGACACAATACTTGACTGCCCCCACATGCATATTTCACCCTCATTAAATCTGATTACAGTAAAAATCTTAACTGTTCTTTTCTAGCAGAAACACTTTGTGGAATTAGGAATACATGTAAGCCTTTTTGCACATTATTAATAATCAAATCCAAGGATTACTAAGAAAAACATTTGCATTTTATCACTAACTTTTTCCTTTTTTCTCCTCCTTTTTTCTCCCTTGCAGGCACAGCTGTCTCAGGCTTTAAATGGCGTTTCAGATAAAGCAAAGGAAGCTAAAGAATTTTTGGTTCAGCTGAAAAATTTATTGCAGCAGATCCAGGTAACTGTAAAATATAATCTGTTTTGATAATACAGTAATCAATAGAACTGAGTGAATAATTTATTTGATGACTTTGTTTCCTTTGCTATTCTCATCTTTCCTGGAATCATCTGACCTTTCTTGAATGGATTTGCTAGGTAAAATTGTTCATCAAATAATGCCTGCAAGCCCCTCTTAGCTTCTAGATTGTTTGCTGTTTGTTGCAAAAAGCTGATATTCAATACTGGACATCTGAGCTGTGTTGATTAGTGTTTGATTGAATCCATTAGTCATGCTTCTAGGCTCCTCCCTGACTGACTGCAATTGCTTGAATTTGGCATTTAGGATAAATTCTCATTTTAATACATTCAAAATGTGCTAGCTTTTCATCTTACATTTCCTTAAAATGCATTAATTTCTGCAAAAAATCCAGTCAGCTTGCCTATTAGAGTACTTGTAAGAATGTCCTACACATACTCAAAAATACAGGAATATTCTACTAAAAAGAAAAAAAAGGAACTGCTGCTAAATCAATGTGTCGTTTATTGGAGCGTAAGTTATTTTCATGCCTGTAATTGTCTAGATTTAATAGTCAGAAAAAGAGCTCATAGTGAGTGCAGTAATTGAGGGCACAAACCCAAAATGAAACAAGCCTTAATTTCAATCAAATTTAGACTCATCAGTGCTGGAGGTCAGACGATCCTCAAGGTCCTTCTGGCCCTGCAGAGTGTACCTGGAAATGTGCCACTCCAGTTTGGGCTGTGCAGTGTCCAGGAGGGGACACTTGTGTCCTGCGCTTGTTAGTAAGGGAAAACCAAAGCAGAAATTCAAAAAGTTTATTCTTTATTCATTAAAGTATTCCACCTAAAACCTTGGAGGATAAATTTGTACCACAAGAGGTGCCCAAGCTCTTGGGTTGCCTCAGGGCAGCCTAACAAGGCACCCTCACAGTCTGCCACAGCCACGTGGGGAAGGGAGCACACCAAAATGAGGAACTGGTAAAATTAAAGGACATTTAACTGAAAGAAACCAGTGCCAAGCCACTGACTGGCACTTGTAATGTGCTGTATTTTGGCTATAGGGTGAGGTTTCTCTCAGCTGACTTACCCATTTAACAGTTATGTAGCTTACATAGTTATGTAGTCTACTCATTTAGACTTCTTTCACTGTCCAAGGAGAAAAGACAGGCACCTCTAGAGAGCATTTCTTCCTGTAGGTATGAACAGCTATTTTAGGATGGGATAACCCATCCAAAACAGTAGTCTATCACCAATCTTTCTTGAGTCATCTAGCTCCATTACAAATGTATTTTTCCCTCCTGAAACCTAGAAGTGGCCTATTATGACTATTTATGACTATCCTGTAAAATCCTTTAATGTGTTTCAATAAAATCACTGCCAAATTGCTCTGCATAAGGGAGCTGCTACAGTTGGATCAAAAGACCAAGCCATTTATTTGATGCTGCTTATTGCTTAAAATGCTAGAGGAGAGCTCAGAAGAGGAAATTTTATCCAGCAGTACTCTCTAACTTTTAGCCAAGTCTGGTCACAAATCTGAATCCGACCCTCACACGTTGAGGCAATCTTCATCCTGAGTCTGAGTGAAACATCAAATTTCAGCAAACCAAAACAGCAGGACTAATCAGCTGCATATTGTATTTCTAAGTAAAACAAGACTGGGGCATGGCTCCAAGATGATCACTCACACACTTTAACCCTTAAGGAGCTCCTGGAATGGTTTTCTCTCATGACAAATTGCACTCCTCTCATGCAATGTTCGAGCCACCTTTGATGATAGCACATACCAGGGGATGCTCCTGGTAGTCAGGTTTGGTACAGCCACACTCATAGGGGGGAAAGGGTTTAGATGTGTCATGAGCCAGTCTGTGCCTTTTGACATTTGGACAAAAACTAGTTCTTGTACTGTTACTTTGTGGGGGAACAGATGTAGCCTTTGTGCATAGGTTTGTAGCCAGACACATATCTCAGAGCCGGTTATTTACAGTAGAAATCTTATGACGGCTGCCACACTTGCATATGGACATTTACCCCTCAGCAAAAATGTATTTTAGCAATACTTTTACACAAAGGATCAAGCAATATGTAGATTTTATTATCCTGTCTCAATGCGCTGCAGACCGGGCAGCCACCCACATTCTTTATCTCCTCTCTGAGTTTGCCAGAGCTACCAGGAATCGTGCTTTCATCTAACCTGGGGCAGTTTGCAAATTCATAACCTATTTTTCTTTTCCCTGCTTTGCAGATCTGTTGTTTCCCCCTCTTTTTTCCTGCCTTTCTATTCTCTGAGATGACTTTTATATCTCTTGGTCTTTTCTTTTCAGATACTGCCTGTTCCTCATTGCTCCTGTTGCTTCCTTGCTTCTCCTTGTTGCTGTCATGATCTGATTTTCCCATTTTCCCATCTGCTGTAACAATTTCATACTTTCTCACTTGAAGGAGGCATATAGCCAAACACCCTGTTTGATGTGTGGGCAGAAAATGAGGAGAGAAAGAAACGATGCACTGCAGCCACTGACTGATTCAGGCTCTGTGCACAAAGCAGCACTTCAGGAGTAACGGGGTGGAAATGGGCTTAAGGGGGAGCTGGGAGTGACACCAGCCGAGGTGGGGGAGATGCAGACAGGAAGAGTCTAAGACAAACCTCCCATGAGCAGGAGCTGAGCGGTCTGGAGTCTCCCCAGCCCCGGATAAACCCCCGCCCACATCTCCCGGCAGGTTCAGGACTGCACTGGGGCTTCCCAGGGGACACTGACCCTGCACCCATCGGCTGGAGAATGGGATGCACGGGTCACAGTGAGGGAAGGGAGTACAGTGCTGAAAGTTCTGAATTCAAAATAAAGACGACAAAGCAAATGAGTAGAAAATAAGAGAAAAGCTAAAGAGATAAGAGATCATAATGAGTTAGGGGAGTACAATGTCTTAGCAAAGAGGCGCTTCTGCTTCAGTACATGCTTAAAATCTTCTCACATTTAATGATTTTTTTTTCTTTTTTAATTGGGGTATTTGGGAGGAAAGCTGATAGCACACCTAAACATCTCCTTGGAAGAGAAGCTTGAAAGTTTTCTCCTTCTAGTCTGACGAGCAGAGGAGGTGAGGGAGAGTCTTCCTTTGAATGGGTACTAGAGAAGCAGTTCCAGGAATTTATGTAATGCTGAATTGTTCCCAGAGCCTACTAAAGGCTCAGTGTTGTATACCTCATGCTGGTTTCTGCCTAGCAAAGAATTTTACCATAATGTGAATAGAAAGTTGCCTCTTTTTTTAAAAGCTAATCAAGTACATAGCTCCACTGCCAAGTGCTAGCTATTTTATAAAAAGTACTCGAAGCAATACACAAACCTTAGGGCTTTGTACCTCATTAATTTCCTTGTAATAAGCCAGTAGACCAGATTCTGGTCCATAATTCTGTTCTAATTGCTGTGGTACAGAGCCAGTGATTTCAAAGTTGCTACAGTGGGATAATTAAAACAGATTGGAGCAGAATCCTCTTATGTATGTATGCATTGTGTATGTTACATTTAGCATTTACATCATGTTGTAGTACATCTGTCGTCAGGAAAGTGCCAGTAAATCATGGTTTTGAATAAGACCATTTGTGGCATGGCATGTTATTGCTTCATTTTACAGCATGCAGCTAGTACTGGTACAGCTGTAATGAAATCAGAAAGGCAACAAAAATGCTGAGGGTCTTGAAAGGAAATCTTTTCTGAGCAGAAAAGCGGGTATGAGCAATAGCTTAAGCTGCAAATTGTGCAGTCTCTGATGTGTGTGACTCTGTCCTCGTTGTAGGAGAACGGGTTGGATTACGAAGCCTGTCTCGTGGCTCAGTGCGACGCCTTGGTCGACGCGTTAACGCGGCAAAAGGCAAAACTGCTCACAAAGGTCACCAAGGAGCGTGAGCACAAGCTGAAGGTGAGCACTCCTCTCATCAGCTCAGCACAGCTGCTGAGAGATACCTGCTGTGGTTTGTCAAGTTCCCCTTGACAATGAAATCTCCTAGTGACCAAATTATAAAGTTCCTTTAGCAGGTTCCAGTTCAGCAGTTTAATAGAATTGTGCCTACACACGTTAAATGGTGGATATACTTCAGCAGTTTGCTGAATCAGGCCATCAATCTTTATTTGTCTTATGGTTTGGGGCTATCTTTTAGGGGTGCTTATCAGTGAAACCTGTGTGTGGTTTGGATTTTGGCACCTTCTGCCCAAGTAAACAGTTATGATTTCGATATCTCCTCAAATCTTTAAATTCAGGTAAGCCACTTCCAGAAATACATGGGCTACTCAAAACATGTTAAAGAAATACAGTAAAAGAAGATGGCAAGAAGAAATCTAAAATGGTTGTATGAAGTGGCAGTTAAGACATATTTGAATAGACACATTTTTTAAAATGGTGATCTTAATGTGATTTGGAGGTACTATGGTGCCATTCACAATAAAAGTATCTAAGACAGAAGGAAAAAGTGAAATGGATTATCTAACATATCAGTTAACAAAATCCACCTGAGATCAGCATTCAGCTTGCTTAACAAGAACCAGCACTTAGGACATACTGCTGACAGCACAGCAAACCCTGCAGTTTATTGCAGTCACAAGTTGTCCTACAGAACACAGTGCTACTAGACCTAGTCCACAGCCATGTGGCAGCAGAAACAAGACCAAAATCTGGAAGAATGGAATGCAGCTATTTTATTTGTTAATTCCAGCAAATCTCTTCTTAAGCAGAGCAGGTTCAATAATAAATTGTGAAGAGAATGTTTAGGGTATAATCTGTGAAAAACCACTCCAGCAGTTTGCCTCTAAAGTGAAGGACTTTTAAAAAGCTCAGATGTTAGTGAAAGTGTGACTGGAAATGTGAACACTGCAAATGCAGAGACATGTTCTGTGCCCTCTCTGCCCCAAGCAAGCCTAATCTTTGAGAAATTAATCTGCTCTGAAAATTGAGATTCCCTGTGCACAACATTTTGCCAAGCTAATTATCACTATTTACAATACAGAGCCAGTGAGTGAAGCTGATGGAGATACAGCAGTGGCCATATGGCAGCTAAATTAAGCATAGATTTAACACACTCTCCCATTCCTTGTCTCTTCTGAAATAATTTAATATGATTCACTGCAAGCTGAGGCAGTCATAGAACTGTACTGATGTTTGTTTTCCAGGTTGTTTGGGACCAGATAAATCACTGTACACTGAAGCTACGCCAGTCAACAGGGCTCATGGAATACTGCCTAGAAGTTATCAAAGAAAATGATCCCTCTGGGTTTTTACAGGTATTTTTCTTCCTAATGTTCTGGAGGGGAAAAAAGGAAAATAAATTAAAGCTAAGTCTAAAAATGTATGGCTTTGTTAATTAGCCCCTTCCACCTCCAAGGCAGGTTCACCTTAACTCCTGTAAGAACTGTCTAAAAACTCAGAGAGCCTGGTGACTGCATGAGTGTCCCAGCAAAGAGATGGCTTTAACAGCTGCACCCTGACTGAGGTGGGGAGTTAGTGGTCACACCACTGCCCTAACTCCTGATGTCTTTCCTCTTGACAGCCCTTCCTTCTGGGATGAGAAAAATATGCTATGCAATTGATGATAGCTCTTTGCAGAGTATTATTTTATTCTCATCTCAGAAACCCAACACAGGGCCTCACAGAGCTCTCTGATTAATTTGGAGAGGTCAGTGACTCAGGAGAGTAGTACTTCTCCCCCTTGTGCTTCTCCCCTTTGCTTTCCTGTGTAAAAGAGTCCTTTCAGCACCTCCCCTGTAAGGATATCTAGTCTGAAGGGGCTGCCTGAAGCTTTGCTTTGCTGAGATTGTTGCATCAAGGCCTGTGGCAGCTCCAGGTACCTTTTCTTTGCAAAATATGGCCCAGCCAATAATTGCCTTAATTTGCAGGATACTGCTTCTTAGGTGCAAACAGTGAAAATGTCTGTTGATGAGACAAAACATAACAGTGTTTTTTTTCCCATAAATTATTTTGCTTAATTTATTCTTATATGTTTATTAATAACTTTATTTTGCCCTAGTGGTTTTGTTGCCTGATTTACTTCCTAAAAAGAAAGGTACATCAAACAAAATGACCTGCACACATGAATGCACGAGTGTCAGGGGTTTGTCAGAGCATCCCTAAAAAACAGGATGAGAATTAGCCAACCTAAACCTATTAACACTCCAGACTGATAGTTACTGTCATGTCTGGTCTCAAGCAAGAGAGGGAAATGTGTGGTGTAGATTAATCTCTAGGTTACACAGATTTTAACAGGCTGGACTCTACAGGACAAACAAAACCTTTGGGTCTTACCTACATGCTATCTAGATATATGCTTTACTTTCTTTTCAGCTTACTTTCCCTGTAACTTCTGTGGCTTCAGTTTTTGCAGGCCCCTTTATAAAAAAAAAACACAAACCATTTTTGTTTTTACTTTTTCCTGGTTAATCTAATGATGCTTTCAGTACAGCCAGCAGACAGTCAGGCACTGCATTACTTTGAGCAACTACTCCTGCAGCCAGGATACTGAGACATGGCCAAGGGATCCAGCATCCCAGTAAGTGACACCGAGGCTGCAGGAGGATGTGGGATGCTCCTCCACCTACTGCACAGACTGATAAGGAGCTGTGGATGCAAGGGCTCAGACAGGAGTGTCCGCAGTAAAAGTAATGAGGAAAAGTATCCAAATTCCTACAACAGAAGAAAACTCTCTCTGTTATACCCAGAAAAAAATTTTACTCTCTGTGACTTACAGGAAGTTCACTGTCAGGGATTCCTGATACTCAAATGACAGCTTCACTGGACTTAAGGACAGCTGAGCTCATTGATTTCCACAGGGCCAGGATTTAACTTCCTGAAGTGTCTGTTGTGATCATTTCAGTTTGACTTTTGGTCTGATTGTCTGTGGGCTGAGCTAGAGCAAATCTTTAAAAATTAAGTTCAGTTTTGATGTAATGGTAGAAAATCCATCATATATGGGAAAATCTATCTGACAATTTATCACCCTCACTGTGAGTAATATACACCTTCCTTACCATTTGATTTTTTAATCCTTTAGCTTTCATCCACTGAATCATCTCTGCTGAATGGAGAGACTCAAACATTTAAGCCTCTCTTTGTGCAACTTCTTTTTAAACAGGAGAGCAAAAGTAGACCATGCAGATCAGAGAACAGAGTACAGAATTATATGTGGCATTCAGAGGCAGGACACACAACATAATCTTAACAGGCTTTATAAATGCAGTTTTTACTTTCCTAGCCTAATATGAGATTTATTTTGAAAAGACAAGATGAAAGGATGCAGCAAAAATGGACCTCACCCCAAAACGACCAGATCCCATCTCATCTGTTTTGCTGTCTTAATTCTGTTTCCTTTGTGCTGTATCTGACAGGCATTCTGTCATTTTTAATGTGTGCATCTGCCATTTCATTATAAACCTGACACTCTCTTTCAGATCTCAGATGCTTTAATCAAGCGTGTTCAGGTATCTCAGGAACAGTGGGTCAAAGGAGCCTTGGAGCCAAAAGTGTCTGCTGAGTTTGACTTGACTCTGGATAGTGAACCTTTACTGCAGTCAATTCACCAGCTGGATTTTATTCAGATGAAATGTAGGGGTGAGCTCTTATGATTTTCCTTTTCCTGTTTTTCATGCATGTGTTGAAACAGTGCTGGGAGGTGTAAGGACACCAAAGGAGGAACGACTTGTATTTACCAAATAGTTTTAAAAGGTGTTCAGGCAAATTTAGGTTACTGGGTGTTTCCTGGAAAGGTGTGCTCCCCTCACATGTATAATCTTTACGTGCATCTGGTATTTCTGTCTGAGCTGAACAAGCTCAGATAGAAATACCAGATGGACTTAGAGATTGTAAAGATAACTTTGCTTCAGAGTAGGGCTTTGAAGATTTATAAGACATGAGCTGCATGAGACTTCATGCCATTTTGTAGCATTCCTAGGGTTGACATGGTTAATTCAAGATACCAGTTACCCCTATCTTGTCAGAAACAGCTGAATTAGAAAATAAATATACACTCACACACACTTGAATAGGGAACACCCCCCCACCCCCAGCCTTTGACCTTTGACTTGTATCTGGATTGCGCTGTAAAAATTGCCCATTTTAATAAAAAAATCACAAAGAAGAGATTCACAGTGGGAAAGCACCTCCATGGCTGTACCACACAAGGGGATAGTAGCTCCATGGCTATACCATTCCATGGTTCCAGGTATCTGGATAATTCTGATGAAGAAGCTAGAGGGAACTGAGGTTAAAAAATGTATCTAAAAGAAGAAGCTGATGAACAGGACATGTCACTGACATAAAAAAAAAAAAGAAAATTAACATAATGAGCTTGTAATGGGCTTAGTTTATATGAAGCAGGCTGAGAACTGCATCAGAATTAGACAGATCCGTAGAACACTTGGGTTTGAAAGCCATTGTGGTCCCTGGGAATGATGTCATTAGCTTCTCTCAGTGGTGATTCAAGCCCTAATTATACATGTGGGTGACAGGATAGAGGCTGCCAGAAGTCAATGGATGAGTTAAGGATATCGTGTAGTGATGTCAGATGTGCTTTTTTTTGCTGTTTTGAGCAAGCATAAAGAACTTTGTTCCTCTTATGTGTTCTCTCTGGGCCTAATTCTGCATCTAAGACACCCAAGATTAAGTAATTAGGGTGGATAATTTGGCAGATATGTGGAGAAACAATGTACAAACAGTTAAAGGCCAGAGTCTGCTCACCAAGAATGCTTTGCATCTTGGCATAAACAGGCTGTGTGAAAGTTATTCAATAAACATCTGTGAACTGCTCCTTTGAAATGTTGTCAGACAGGCAAGTGGAGTCAAGAGAGCAGGAATATCACTGATGAAACTCTTCTGAATGCTGTCTGCACTTGTCTTTTTAAAATCAGTTTATATTTAATGCTAGCCATATTTATTGCGAAATATATTTAATACTAATCTCCCACCACTCTCCTTTACAAACATAGGAAGGATTTAGTTAAACTAGTCACCTAGATTGCTAATTAACCACAGGTTACCTGAGGTGAGAGCAGCTTTGGTATTTGGCTTGTGGACATTCACCTGGCTTTAAGCTTGAAGACTTACAAAACTTTATTTGAGCCAGATTCACTTGTGCTTTTTGAATTAAAGTGTTTTCTGCTACGCTCTCATTTATCATAAGATGGCAGGGAAGCTCTGGTACTGAGTTAGACACAATCCGAGGGGCAGAGAAGAAGACAGGACTTTTGCAGCCCAAACCTGTGCAGAGCTTCCAAACACCCTTGGACTTTGCTCCCCAGAGACAGGCTAGCCCTCAGGAAGGGCTTTTTCTTGAGCTGTCTTGGTCCTGACCAGGTATTATCTATTGCATGTCCCATCAGGTTGGTCAGCACAACCAGAGTGACCATGCACACACCATGCAAAGAATAGTGGAAAGGTGTTAACCTGGCCAGCATTCCTTAAGGTGCATAAGGAATGGCGTTCCTCACCTTCAGACCTCTGTGTGCCCAAGCAGAACAAGCCTCTGACCAGTTCCAAGCTAGCATTCATAGGGATTGGGGATTGTTTAGTATATAGACATGTATTTGTCTTTCTTCATTTATGACAGCAAGTCTATTTCCATTTGAACTTCTCAGTCTGACACTTTGGCCTTTTTTTTCTGAAATTTTACTTCTATGACCTCAACCCAACTCTGCATTATTTTAGAATCATAAAATAATCTGGATTGGAAGGGAACCTCAAGGATCATCTAGTCTCAACCCCCTGTCATGGGAAGGGTCACTTTTCACTAGATCAGGTTTCTCAGAGACCCATCCTGCCTGGCCCTGAACACTTGCAGGAAAAGGACATCCATGGCTTTCCTGAGCACCCTCTTCCAGTGCCTCACAACCCTCACAGTAAAGACTTTCCTAATATCTAATCTAACCCTCTCTCTTTCAGTTTGAAGCCATCCTCCCTTGTCCCATTACTACACGCTCTTGTAAAAACTCCCTCTCCAGCTCTCTAGTAGGCCTCCTTTAGGTACTGGAAGGCCACAGTATGGTCTCTCTGGAGTCTTCTTCACTCAGCTCTCTCAGCCTGTCTTCATTGGAGATGTGCTCCAGCCCTCTGATCATCTTCCAGACCTACTCCAACAGTTCCATGTCCTTCCTGTGTTGGGGGCCCTGGAGATGGACACAGTACATGGAGCCATTGACCATGACTCTTTCAGTGCAGCCATCGAGCCAATTCCTTATCAGCTGAGAGGTCCATCCATTAAAATTCTTGTCTCTCCATCTTAGAGACAGGGATGTTATATGGGTAATGCTTTGCACAAGTCCAGGTAGGTGACACCAGATCATCTTCCCTCATCTGCCACTGCTGTTATTCTGTCATAGAAGGCCACCAAATTTTCTAGGCATGATTTGGCCTTCTTCAGATGCGCTATTTGCATTTCCTCATGCAGAATGGTCTTGCATCTAGAAATGCAGCTATCACAGAGTAATCACTCAGCATTTCAGGAGCAAGCACCCAAACTGATTTGGAACATCCCTTTGCTGACTGTAAGGAGAAGCTGCAGTTGCATGGTGATGTTTTGCTATTTATCACCATGAACACTGGGACAGATTGCCCAGAGAGGTTGTGGCATCTCCCTCACTGGAGATATTCAAGAACTGTAGGGACACAGTCCTGTGCCATGTGCTCTAGGATGTCCCTGCTTGAGCAAGGAGTTTGGACCAGATGAGCCCCTTTCAAGCTGACCTGTTCTGTGATTCTGTGACTTCCATATTTCTGAGCATCCACTTTCACAAAGAAAAAATGTCCTCCTCTTTCATCTGCTCCTCTTTCTTCAATCCTACCTACGCCAGCACACCAACAACTCATCTGTCTTTGCCAAATGTTGGTGTTGAGGTGAGTGTTATTAAGCCATTTCAATGATCTGTAAAGGATGTTTTGGGGAGATCTAGGAGAACAGGGCAAGCATGGCTTTTCCAACTGTAAGTTGTTTTTTTTCCAAAAGTTTTGCAATGTAATATCTGTATTATTTTTATCAGTGCCTAGTACATGACTGAATTTCTATTTTTTTTTCAAACTCTGGCCTCATTCAACCTCATTGAACTTGCATGGGTCATTTAGAGTGAAAGCATGCTTGAAAGTAAACATTGATTCACTGTGTTAGACAAAGAATGAAAATGAGAACAAATCACATTGCATTTGCTTTGATGACGTTCATTTACATTACTGATGCATTCTCTATAGACACAGATAAAAAGCTCATCTAAAAAATAAAGATCATAGGGTTCTTTTTCTTTTTTGCAGAAAGAAGAAGCAATCTGAGAACAAATTAAATGTGCAGAGATGGGATAGGTGCAGAAGTAATGCTTAGGCAGTCATGTTGATCAGAGGGTCTCACTGAGTCCCACACTCCCTGGGCCAGCTGACCTCAGAGACACTCACACAGCTCTACTGGCTACTGGTATTTTGAGCTTTCCCAGATAATTTTCTCTGTCCATGTTTTCTTCTCTCTGAGGCTTTCACAGAATGCCTTGTCACAAAATTCCCGTCCTCTGATGCCTGGCTTAATGTGTAGTTCACATATTCTCAGTTAGAGCTATTGGCACAGGCAAATGCACGTTCCGGGTCTGCTTTGTTCACACAGCTGTAACTGGTGGGCAGCCTTCATTGGTTGAAAAACAGGACTAGATAGATACAAAATCAGAAAATATGTAGCTACTCTACTTTTCTGTACCACCTCTGAACATTTATTCATATACTCCTTCTCCTTATCCTGACTGACTCCTTCCCTCTTCTGCAAACCATGAGGATTCCCCAGACATGTCTGCTACAAATCTTCTCTGCTTCTGCAGGTATGAACTGTACTGCCCTGATAATTAAAGGACAGCTGTTTCATCTTAAGCTTTACCTCTGGTTCTTTCTGCTCTATGTCATGGACTCAGCTCCTTGTGGTCTCTCCTTCTCTCCTAACACTGTTTGTAAGGCATTTGCTACAGCAGTGACTCAAGCTATTCCAGAGCTGTACTGCAGTTTTGGAGGAAGTCAAAGTTTTCCTGTTTCTGGGGGGTCCCATTCTTTCAGTGCATTTAGTCCTTTAAAAACTAGTCTGGGAAGGTGGGTGACATCATTGCTTGTCAAGAGGACAAAAGACAACATCTTAGAGCAGCCCTGCTGTACCCTGTGAGGGGACTACCCTGATCAGCCATGAGATGCATTGAGCAATATGTTTTGAGAACTGCTCAGTTGACAAGAGACATTAGTCAGTGTCACATTTCTTATCAAAGAGTGACCTGCATGAAGCTCTTTTAAAATAGCAGGCCATCATTCAGACTCATTAATAAGTCCCGCTGTGCCAATGCAGTATCTTTTCTCCCTTTATATTTTTAATATTTTCCTTCCAAAAAATCTCTTGAGAACTTTAAATTGGTCAAGAAGTGGGACAGAACTGCAATTTAACATCTGAGTCTTTTTTTTTCCCTTGCACTTAGCCTATATTTTTTCTTTCCTTAGTCCTATTCCACTGCTTGTTGATGTGAAGTACATACCAGTATCCCGATTATTCAATCACTTTGCACTTTCCTATGATTTTTAGAGGTGTTCATCTTTTCTCCTCCCATAGGGAATTTGAGATCAAGGCAAATCTCTGCCCATCCACATCCAGTGGAGAAAGCAGGTCAGGCACAGAGAGCATCATGCAGCAAAGATGCTTGGCAGGAGCTTCTTGCCTCTCCTTCAGGAGAGTTGTGCAGTTCAGGCTGGATCAAAGAGAGCAGGAGGCTGATATGGATTGCCCACAAAGCCCTGAATATCCAGCAACACATTAAAGAAGCCAAGGCACTTCCCCATAGTATGTGAGACTCTCACACATTGGGCCAAAATTCACCCTTCCCCCTGGGAAGTGGGAACAACAGCACTCTACTGGATGAAAACATATTTTATTCCTAGACAGCATTCCTGTTTACATAGTTAAAGAGGAATTGTAAAACACATACCCTTCTCCAAAAATTCTGCTCTTTTTTTGGCATTGTGCATTACATGAACAGTTCCTGAAAGCCTCCTATCAGTGTTCCTAGGAGTTTTTCAGAGGTTGGAAAGGTTAGTGCACTGTCTGTTCTGCATCTTAGAAACTTCAGGAATTGGGTTTTCATCCAGTCTTGCCAGGAGGAGTCTCAGAAATGGGGAGGACCAGAAAAATGCCTCCTGAGAGGGCTAACCAGCTAGCAAAAGCAGCAGGAGTATGGATGGCTGATAGAGCCCTGTCTTCTCCCAGGCTCATCAGTCACCAGGAATATATTGGTTAACAAACACAGACAAAACTCTAAACTTAAAATGGTTCACTTAAGAAATCCCATTATCTCTGAATTCCTCATTTTCATGTTTTTGACTCTTGTCACATTTCTGTGACTTCTCCAGACACAGTGTCTCCTAGAGGAAACTCTGAACTTTCCATGTGAGAAAACAAGCAGGTTTTTATTTATGACACCCTCTGAATCATCCTTAAATATCAAGGAATAGGAACAAGGCTTCCTTTTCACAGAAAAACCTTCAAGAGCTAATTTATAAAGCTCTTTTGTTTCATTCTTCTGGGCTACCAACCATCTGCGTTCACTGTGGTGATGGATAATGCCAGCGGAAAGCCAGGGTAGCTTCTGTGCTGTTTATCACAAGTGTGATGTTGACTTTCGAGTCACTTCCAAAGTGGGGGTGAAGCCTCAGCCCTGTCACACAGTAGCATCCATTTTCCCACAGTCTGCTTGGTACACAGAACATGAACAGTCCTCTTTTATCCAGAAACATAAAATAGGACGAAAGGAACAGCTCAAGGGCTTAGCTCTCACGCAGACAGAAGGAGGAAAATAAACTAGAGGGTCAAAGTAGATAAAAGAAGAGCAAACCAATATTATTAGGGCAATGAATTCTCAGAGCACTCAGTTTCTTCTAAGACATGATTGAGCTCAGCAGAAATTATATTGAGATATTGGATGGTAAAATTTAGCCTTGGGCAGAAGACCAGGCAGGCTTTGTGCATCACTTGCATCCTAACTTAACCTGTATGTTTTCAACAGTGCATGAGATGCATGCCAGCTCTATCCAGAAGACTAAATTTTCACTTTAGAATTGCCAGCAAAGAGTGAACAGTGAGAGTTTAGTTTTGTTTAGGAGAGGTTGGATAGAGGTCTCTTTCCCACAGAGACACAGCTGAATATTTTACTCTGTTTCTTTTTATTTTTAAGATGCTGGTCTGGCAAACAGTCTCTTGGTGTTTATTCCGAGCAAGTCACTGAAAAGGCATGTGGGTAGAAAAATTTGCATTTGTAATTTCCATGAGGAGTCTCCTGTGATGCAGAAGTTCGTTTTGCTACCTGAACCATGGGATTTAGATAAAGTTTGCAAACAGAAAAATTTGCTTCAACAGTTTATTTTAAGTATGGTTGCCATAAAGATAACACATCCAAGGTGTTTTTGATGAAAAACTAGGGGGAGAGGGAGGGGTGGTAAATTAGATTTTTAAACCCCCCCCAACTGTAGTGAAGAATTGTTTTCCTGCTGTTGGTGGAGTTCAGGCTGTCTCTCAGCTGTGCTGGGAGGAGTGGCTGCTCTGCTTGCTACCAACCCAATTCTTTGTTAATGCACTGGGTTCTCTGGCAGCATTGCCTGTGCCACTCTATGGCCTGAGACACCCCCTGCCCTTCCTTTTGGGGACAGTGGGTGCTCTGGTGTGAAAAAGAATTCTTCCAGACAGTGACTCCTGGGAAGGAAGCCACTCATGGATTCCCTAGACTCTAGTTCTTATGTGACATGACAATCAAGTCCAGATATGTTTCTGTCTACATATTTCAGTGAAATGATTTGTCTAACTGGGTAACAAGATTTTGTTATGTAATTTTACTGCCTTTTGTTTCAAGAAAGAGAATGGACTCTCTTCCTAACAAACACTGGCTCCCCTGCAAGGGGAAGGAGGTGAGCAGTTGCCCTAGTGCTCACAGCACAGACTAATGGGGTAGGTCAGACTTACACTAACCTGTACCCAGTTCCTGTTTCAGTGCCACCTGTCCCATTACTGCAGCTGGAGAAGTGCTGCACCAGGAACAACAGTGTGACATTGGCCTGGAGGATGCCACCTTTGAGCCACAACCCAGTGGAGGGCTATATCTTGGAACTTGATGATGGAGATGGTGGCCAATTCCGAGTGAGAATTTCATTCAGCATTTATTTGTGTTTCTTTGTATGTGAGTTTCCTCCAGATACGGATTTGTTTCTGTCTGAGGGTGGGGAGAGGGGTAGGGAAGATTGGGTTGTCAAAACATCCCTAATTCCATTGTGCTGGTGGAGAAAGCAGTGCAGATGCTGCTTAAGGACCACTGGCCTAGGTAGGAAGTTTGTCTGAGGTTATTCTCAGGGCTCTTGGAAAGAGGGCCTTGAGGTATGCCCAGTGCATTCCAGAGTAGAAAATCCCATATGAGCTTGCTGAGTATGAGAAGCTGGAAGTGTTTCATTGCACAAACCAGAAATTTATTTGAAGCCCCTACTCTCACCTGTCCGTTGCACCCTGTTTCAACAGCTGACATTCTTGGTCCAGAAATGCAACTCCATCTTTCCTGATTTTCTGAGTAAAAATATGATCCTGCATAAAAATACAGGGTTTCTAAACCTCTCCCTTGGGAATGGATGGGACCAGACTGGTGGAAGCTTTTTCCACTATCGTGCTGTGATGGAATTGATAAATATGGAAAGGCTTCCCAAGTGCTGCCTTCCAGATCCTCTGGTTGATGCCACAACGTGATGCTCCTGGTTGCAGGTGCAGGGTGCTTATGGGCTCCCATACTTTTTCAACACATCCTGATGAACAAACTAGAGAAACAATTCAATCAGCTTTCTTCCAGCCATGTCCTCCTAGAAGCTGTGGCCCTTCTGCCTCAGGCAGGCTTCAGGCTCCTGTTGCTCAGGACCAGGCTGGCCCAGTGCTTTCCCTAGGGGCTGGTGCCTCAAAAGCATCTGGACATCATTGTGGAGCACAGCTGCTCTCTTCACAAACAGGGAATTTTGCCAAAAACTTGTGATGGCATTTCTTTGGGAGCTGCAAACTGGCTTCTCCCAGGAAACCTAAAGATTTCTCAAGCTGAAAATGACCTGGCATGGATCCACCTAAGGAACTGCCAAACCTCTACACCCATAGCCAGCAAAGGTGCCTTGTTTGGACACTCCTCATTAGAAGAGGCAGTAATATTGGCAGGGCATTTTGAAGAGGGCATTGTGGTTTTTGGAAGGTCTCCTCAGTTCCTTTGTCCAAGTAACATTTCACAGGGATTTGAAGAGCCTGGCTTCCGCTGCTGAAAGTGTGAAATGGTATTTTTGTGAATGGCTGCTGAGAGCTGCCAATATAGTCAATGTTAGTAGGTAAGAGTGTTATCAGTGTGTGATGAATGAAGAGTTAGAAGGTGTTAGAATTCCAGTATCTTTTATCCAGTTTATCCAGGATAAACCTTTTAAAGTAGTATTCATGTCTTGTGAATGACAAGATTTCAGGCTGGTGTGTATCCAAGCTCATTTGTGTGGGTGAGTTTTGGTACTGCAAAGGTTTTAGGACTGCCAGCAGTGCCGTGTTAAGATTTTGGATTGAAAAAGATACAAAACTATCTCAATCCTTAAAAATGTAAGGTAACTTCTAAGGTGAATGATCTGCTTGCTGTGGTAGGAGCATCCTCGGTTTTACCTATTAAAATATAAAAGGCAGGCTTCTCAGCAATGCCATCTCAATAAGGGTTTGCTGACCTTTTAAATGGAGAATTCTATGTCTGAAAGCAAAGATGTTGACTGCAATTTATCAGTATTTGATGGGTGGATTTAAAGAACATCTTTGTAGAAGCAGAGAGCATCAACCTGCACTGTTCATGAAGCAGTGAACAGTGGTAAATATTAAGTGGATTAAAAAATATGAGAGTTGTTCAACAAATACAAAATTTTTTCACAGTCAGCATCTCTTATGACATGGAGATAAATTTATTCTATTAAAACTCTTCTTTGTCTCCATGAACGATCACTAGCTAACTCAGGACCCAAGACATTTCGTTGTTTGTAGCAGCCACCATAGTAGCAAAGAGGACAAACACATGTCCTACTGTAAACTTAATCAATTCCTTTTTTACTCATCACATCCTTTTGGGTTTATATGAGAGAGTCTTAACCATCAGAACTATTCCTGAGCATTACTAAATCTTAACTGAACTGGGATCTGAGTGGTTTGCCTAGTGACAGGTTTAAGCACTTTGGTGCCTTTGCTACCATAAACCTACAGATTTCACAGAACCAGAGAAATCAGATGTGGGAACCCAGAATATCCCTCTGACTGTCCAGAACATCCAGGACCCCTGCCAGGGGGCTCAGAAGCCCTGGCATAGAGCCCAAAATGCCTGTGGTTTTGATTATGACCCATGGAGCAAATTACCAACCTTATATGAAGACAGCAAGCCGCAACAGTTTAGGTAGAATAATAGTGAAGTTATCACGGGGTGGAAAAGTAGATTTTAGGGTTTTTGGTATGGGGGTTCAGGGGGCAAGATGGAGGGAACTGGGCGTGTCCAGCCTTTCTCCTTCTTCTTCTTGGCCTCCATCTTCTGCTGTGATGTTGGCATTTTTAGATTGGTTTAGAGTAGAAGCTCACTGTCTAACATAGGTGATAGGTATTGGAAAGTGATTGTAAACATTGTAAATGTAGTTTTTAGTATAAAGACATAACACCGCCCTGGGGGCAGCCAGAGTGCCTCTGACTGTCTTGCTGAGCGGACCTCAGCAGGCCAGGAGAAAGAATTTTATAGATAAGATACAATAAACAACCTTGAGACCGAGAAATTAAGAGCTCTGACTCCTTCTTCAAGCGCTGGGCTGGGAAAAGAGACTTTCTAACGCTTCTCAGGGTCACTCTGACAAGCTAAGATCCCGACAATCAGAGGTGGAAAGGAATTATCTTTCAACCTGCTTCCAAGACAGGATTTTCTAGGCTTCTTTCAGTTCATCGTAGCTGGCATAATCTGATCCTCTTCATTGGTCTGCCTAGATGTTCCTCCCTCTGAAATATTTCACATTACAGAAGTACTTGCTGTATGATAAATATTTGAAGATCTTTTTGATGTCTCTGTTGTCTAGATACTGTTTCAACATGTGGTGCGTGTAATCCTAACTTTTAGGAGTTACTTTCTTCTGGATCTGTGTTTTCAGGTTTCAAAATGATATTTTAACCTAGGCATGAGAGAACCTTTCCAACAGAGCAAAACTGCTCTTGTTTTTTTTTATTCTTAATGCCCCTTTTTTGTCTTGCATAAAATAGCAGTCATAGTGTGTCAGATACTGGGACTACTCTCCAAAATAGTGGTTTAGAGTAGATATTTAGGATAAGAGGAGCATGAAGATCTTTCTGTGTTGCCCTTTATTGCTTTACCCTTCCAGCTTCATCTTCACCTTAGTTTGTCCAGTGCTGGCCATCCTTGATGTCTCCCATGCTGTGGCTGTTTCTATTATAACAGCATAACTCATTCATCCTGGGAAGCAAAGAGAAGCTGTTCACTTTTGGCTTATATTTAGAAGTCTTAACTATGTTAAACTATCTCCCTCATTCTCTCTCTTTCTCGTATTTTTTGGAATGTTTAGGAGGTATATGTTGGCAAGGAGACCCTCTGCACCATCGATGGCCTTCATTTCAACAGCACTTACAATGCCAGGGTCAAAGCTTTCAACTCCTCGGGCGTTGGTCCTTACAGCAAGACGGTCATTTTGCAGACGTCGGATGGTGAGCTGGGCCTTTACCACTCTCCAAGTGAAAAGCTGCATGTCTCAGTAGCAGGACACTTTCATCCCTTTACACCCATTAATGTATTTGACACCTACTGGCATTTTCCATTATCAGTAACGCTTCAGGCTTCAAGTTGTGTGATTTTAGTTGGCTGTAAAAGTCTAGGATCTAACTAGGAGAGTTTCTTTATCATACAGAAACAGTTATGCAACTCATGGGATATTTTTTGTTCCACTCTGTCTCCCTTTCTACATACATCTTTGGGATTTGCCTTTTTCTTCACTACTGCTTCAATTTCCCTGCAAGGTTTGATAATACAAAGATGGGAACTCATGCTTGTTCCTCTGTAATTATACTTGACATCCATACGGACATTATGGGAAGTTCATCTTCATTAATGATATTGTAATGAATTGAGAAATGCATGCTATTATCACTTCCACTTTTATGCTGTGTTGCCAAAATAGGCCAGTATAAAATATTTATACTTTAAGAGCTTTTGGGGCCTTTTTTTCCTTTCCTTAAAAAAACCCTTCACTTTGAAAAACTGGTGAAGTCAATCCTAACCAGCATGGACGCAGCTATTCTCCATATCCATTGAAGGCGATCCTGAACCAATTCACTGACATGAGCAGTTTCCATGTCATGGAGCAGCCTTTGTCTCCTCAGTGACTCTCTTGTTACTGTGTGTGGACAGAATGTCACTACCCTTAGCCGCTAAATTTCAGGGGAACAAGCACAAATGATGTAAAGCACTTCTGAGCTGAAGAGCAGCAGGGTACCAGCTCAGATTCATCTTGTGTAGCTGCCTACAGTAACAAGGAAAAATGGTCTTTATTACCTCAGAGTACATTGGGGTCTTTACAAAGGCAGAATTTTATCCTTCTTACTTGAGTTGAACAGACAACACATGGACACAGCACCTCCTGATCTAATCCCTCCTTTCCTTTTCCCCTTCCACAGTGGCATGGTTCACCTTTGACCCCTCCTCAGCTCACAGAGACATAGTGCTGTCCAATGACAACCAGACTGCCACCTGCAACAGCTACGATGACCGGGTGGTGCTGGGCACCGCCGCCTTCTCCAAGGGCGTGCATTACTGGGAGCTGCACGTGGACCGCTACGACAACCACCCGGACCCGGCCTTCGGCATCGCCAGGATTAACGTGGTCAAGGACATGATGCTGGGCAAGGATGACAAGGCGTGGGCCATGTATGTGGACAACAACCGCAGCTGGTTCATGCACTGCAATTCCCACACCAACCGGTGAGTGCTGCCTGTGGCTTTTCTCCTCACAGGCGTTTCTTCTGCCCTGCATTGTGGTGGTGTTCACAGGAGTCCCAGGACGAGGGAAGAGATGAGAATCTTGACTCCATGTTTCAGAAGGCTGATTTATTATTTCATGATATATATTATATTAAAAGAAAATTATATTCTAAAGCTATACTAAAAGAATAGAAGAAAGGATTTCATCAGAAGGCTAGCAATGAAGGGAAAAGAATTATAATAAAATCTTGTGACTGACCAGAGAGTCTGAGACAGCTGGACTGTGATTGGCCATTAATTAAAAACAACCATATGAGACCAATCAAAGATGCACCTGTTGCATTCCACAGCAGCAGATAATTATTGTTTACATTTCATTTCTGAGGCCTCTCAGCTTCTCAGGAGAAAAGATCCTAATGAAAGGATTTTTCATAAAATATGTCCGTGACACTGCATCAGAGGCAGGTGTCTCAGCAAGCCATCTAGTCCAGCTCCTGGCTAAATGTACTCATTTTCTTCCTTCTTAAAAATCACTAGTGACAATGATTGCACCTTAACAGTCTGTGTTGGTGTTTGTTATCCTCACAGTTATCAGTTTTTCCCTGAGATTTTGCCTAAATGCCCCCTGCTGGGATTTAAACCCGTTATTGCATGTCCCATCCACATCAGCAGACAGGGGCACAGCACGATGGGATGCAGGACTTCTCTCATTGCTGGAGGGAGAAAGGTGGTTGATTCTCTTCATTAGGAGGAATCTTGGCTGCAGATTGTACAATAATTGGGCTGCAGGTGTTCGTCTCCAGTTCTGACAGCTATTAAGGGTTTTGCTGTAGGTCACACTGAGGAAGATTTGGATACAAGGGACTGTTTGGCAGTGAGGGCTGAGTGACAGCTTTCATTGTACTGAGGAGCTTTGAAAAGCACCTCAACTAGTACAACCAACTTAGACAGAGGAGGATTTCAGAATGCCCCCAAGCCGCTGTTACCACGCCTCTCTGTCTCATCACTCAGAGGCTCTGTGTTGTCAGTGCAACTGAGCAGTGGAGAGACATGTTCTAACTGCAGGTACCTCCAGGGATGGATCACACAGAGAGAACAACTGTCAGCACAGATCGTGTGTTGTGCTGACACGGTTGCATGACTTTCAGTGCTCAGGATAGTTACTTCTGCCTTGTGCTGGCTTCTGTTTCATTGAAGTGGTGCCAGACTGTGCAGGGGACACATGGTTAACTTTGCTTGAAGGTATCAGAGCAGAACTGCACTGCTCTCTTTCTGTGTCCCATGAGAGGGTCAGCCTTAGCTGAAGGTCAGCTGGGTACTGAGACCCTTGAGAAGATGTCTGAAAAGGATCTGAAGTCACTTGCTTATTTTGGAAAATGGTGTATTCATATACCTGTTCTATCACAATGGGAAACTGATGTATGAGTAAAGTGACTGACTAAGGATATGTAGCAGGTCTGTAGCAGAGCTGGAATCAACTTCTGTTTAGTTTTCTACTGACTGTCCCACCAGACTCTCACTGTCTCAGGTGTTTTTTCTGTTATACCAAATGATTAAAACAAAGTTTTACAGTGATTTTTAAAACACTGAAATGCAGGTGTCTCCTTAAAGTGATAAGATTGTGTCAACATGCACTGTGTACTGAGGTTGATTGTAATGTCTCCCAGGGAATAGTCATTTATACTCTATAGCATACCTGTGCTTTAAGTGAGTACACTGCAATTGCTGGGAATTTTTGTTTGAAACATGGTTTGACTTTGCAGTTCATTACAGACAGGTGGAAGGACCTTGTAGCTGGATCAAAAGCTGTCTGAAGTCACTTGGATTGTTCTCCATGGGTCCAAAAGCCTTAGATCATGTTCTAAGACAATACAGAATAAAATAACATCAGTATAATAAATATACCAAAAAGTTCTCTGTGCCTTTAACATCTTGATTCGATTCAGGGCGGAAGTAATGCTAAGCTGTATTAATTTTAATGCTCTGTGGAACAGCTTATGTTTTCTGGAAAAAAGCTGGCAACCATTCTGTGCACCACTGTCCCAGAAACCTATTTTATGGATTTGGTCCTCGGCATGCTCCTCCCGGCAAGCAGCACACAAGCTAAGCAAAAGCTTTTTTCTGGGAAACACAAGCAATGGAAACACTTAGGATTTCCAATCATCCTGCTTAATCAAGAGAACAAAGTGCTTTCTGTTGATGATAGTTTGCCAGTTTTTACCTGATAAAACACAAAGGCATGGATAGACCCATGGAATATCTGTTCAAGGGAAGTACACTTGCAAAGGGCATGCAGTCTTATGAAATCACATGCGCTTCAATGAAATTAGGTCTAAGCATTATATTTTTAACTGTGACAGTCAACTAGGTCAGTTTTTTAACTCATTAGATGTAATAGTCTTGTGGAAACAGTTATTGCTGCCTATTTGTTTTTCCCTGCTGGACACGAGTGCATGACAGCACAGCATCACAATCCAAAGCGAATTCATTGTCAACTTTTAGCCTCTGGGATGTTGTTGTGGTGAAAGTTACACCTTAGTAATAGTTTCTTGCTTCATAATCTTCATGAGAATAAATTAGGGTAATTAATAAATGACTACTTTCAAGGATAACCTGAGATAGAGCTTGAAAGGCTAATTTGTGTGACCTGTCACATTTTCTGTTCCTTTCACTCACAGGATGCAAAATTGGATCTAGCATGGCTTCTGTAATGCTGAAAGGGGCATGAACAGGAGACTATTGCTTCCAGAAACAGAGGGATCCTTTTGAGAACAGGCTGAGGAAAGTGGTTGAGAAAATACTTTAGGGCAGAGATAAAGGTTTCAGAGTCACCTTTAAGTCTTGCTGTTCCCAGAAAGCTGAGCCTGGGAGAACCATGGAACAGATCCTTCCAGAAGCTATGCTGAGGCACATGGAGGACAGGGAGGTAACTGAAGACAGTGAGCATGGCTTTACCAGGGGCAAGTCCTTCTATGATGGAGTGACTACAGCAGTGGCCAAGGGAAGAGCTGTGGGCACCATCCGTTTGCACTTCTGTAAGGCCCTTGGTATGGTTCCCCACAAAATCCTTCTCTTCATCTGGGAGACACATGGATTTGATGGATGTCTGATGGATAAGGAATTGGTTGGATAGTCACATCCAGAGCATAGTGGTCAACAGCTAGATGTTCAGATGGAGGCTGGTGACAAGCGGTGTCCCTCAGGGGTCCATTCTGGGGCCAGTTCTGTTTATTGTCTTCATCAGCGTCATAGAGAGTGCAATCAAGTGCACCCTCAGCAAGGTCCCAGATGACACCGAGCTGAGTGGTGTGGTTGACACACTTGAGGGACAAGATGCCACCCAGATGGACCTGGACACGTTCAAGAAGCGGGGCCATGGGAACCTCATGGGCTCCAACAAAGCAAAGTGCAGGCCCTGCCTGTGGGTCAGGGCAGGAGGGAGGATTGACAGCACCCCTGCCAAGAAGGCCTTGGGGATATGGGTGCCTGAGGGGCTGATCATGGTCTGTCAGTGTGCACTTGCAGCCCAGAAGGACAACTGTATCCTGGGCAAAAATTGTCAGAGGGATGGAACATCGCTCCTTTGAAGGAAGGCTGAGAGAGTGGGGATGCTCAGCCTGGAGAAGAGAAAGCTCCAGGGAGACCTGATTGTGGTCTTTCAGTACTTGGAGGGGGTTTATAAGAAAGAGGGGGACAGTCTTTTTTTAGCAGGGCTTGTTGTTCTAGGACAAGGGGAGGTAGTTTTGAACTGAAAGAAGATAAATTCAGACTAACTATAAAGACTAACTATAAGGAAGACATTTTTTTAAAATGAGGATGGTGAAGCACTGGAACTGGTTGCTCAGAGATGTTGTGGATGCCTCATCCCTAAAAACATTCAAGGTCAGATTGGGTGAGCTTCTGAGCAGCTCGACCTAATTGAAGATGTCCCTGTTTTTTGGATGGGGATTGGACTAGATGACCTTTAAAGGTCCCTTCCAATCCAAACTGTTCTGAGAGGTCCTGGATGCCCATTAACAAGAGACATTGACATTCAATGCAATAGATCTCTTCCTTGGCAAAGTTCCCAAGAGCAGGACTACCAGGTGCTACAGGCAATACTCCAGCCACTACATGTCTGTGGAAAGAAGGAGATGTAAATCTCCTTGAAATAAATATTTTATGCTGAAAAACAACACAAAGCTGAAATCTAGAGTATTTGCATTTTAGTCTTTAAAGTCCTTTGCAATCAGGAGAGTCTCTTCAGATATCTTAAGAGCAGGTTTTTTCATCACACAAAAATGGTACAACTGAATGAAAAATGCTATAATTAGCAATAGATATCATAAAGTTTTTAAGATGCTGTAAAGCTAACACTTAAAGTATTGTAATGGAGAGTTGAATTAATTATTCAGTTTATTAAATTGTACATAAATTGTTAATATTTATTTTAAAATAATAGTGAAAATACTCTTAATTCCTCAAGCCAGTTCATGCAATCATATTCTGCACATTGTCCAAGCTGTTACTGAAAGCCTCTTGGAATAACAGCCTCTACTGACACAGGCAACTGCATTTTGCATGGTAGCCAAATTCCCCTTGCTGTACTCTGACCTTCCAGGCTTCTGCACAGCACTTCTGCACTCAGGACTTAGTGTTGCACACAGAAATCAAAATGTTCAAGTGATTTACTCGAAAAAATGAAACAGTGTTACCTATCTCCAGAACTGGATTGTTCTTCAATAAATACAAAGTATTTATTAAGGGAGCATTGCAACAAAAAAGTTGTATTTTCCCTTTCCATGAAAGGTTATTGGGGTTGTGTGGTATAAGTGTCATAAAGTAGTTTAAAAATGCATTACAGTAAAGGAGCAGGTTTTTTACGTGGTGCCACAGAAGTGTACCAGGAGGGAGCAACATCACTTTGAGTCTCTTGAGCTATTTGGCTTTTTTTACCACAACAAAAGCATTTATTAGAAAAATTATCCTGTAATGCCGTCTAAATGGTGTACATAAGAGTGAGGAAATGTATTGCATAAGTATTCTCATAAAACAGACTCCCCCAGCTCTCCTTCTAGAGGAAGGAGCCAGAACCAGGAAAATAGTCCAAAAAAAGCTGGATTCCTCAAAGTACTGTTCCCAAGGAAGCATGGGATGCTGAGTAAGAGCAGCTGTTCAGCCCCAGCAGAAGTCCAGCTTCCCTTTTAGCAGTGTGGTGAGGAGCTGCTGCCTGCTTCTGTTCTCCCCAAATCCTGCCAGAGCCAGTTTCTCACTGTGGGGAGATGATGGAGTAGGAATGGGACCATCTACCTGCTGAATCCCTGCAGAACTTGGGGCAGGAATAAAGGGAGAAGGTCCCCATCCTTCTGCTCTGCCCCCACAGCCCTGTGGCTCATGTAGGGGCCTCAGCTGGGTCCTGCCCTTGCCTGGCTGGAATCTGCAGGCAGAATCTATCTCCTCCTCAGTGGGGCTGTCCCCAGGGGCTGCAGAGGGGTCACTCAATGTCACTGTGCAGCACACGACTAATTAGCCCACGAGAAACAAATTGGCTTGTCATATAGGAAAGAACATCATAATCTCAAAAAAATGAAGTTGCTGTTTCTGTTTCCCTAAGAGAATCTATGTCATTTAAAAGGATGCAATAAAATCCATTTTAAGCAGGATCTAAATTATGGTGTCCTACGTGCAAAGCTGTTCCTAAACAGAGAAAAAAATGTAATCTACTTGTAAATAGCTCCAAATCATTGTACTGTTGCTTCCCACAATCTCATAGTGAGTTTTATGATTGAGGGCTTTTAATAAAAACAGTCTATATATTGAGATACTCATGGTAGGTAAGCATCTTAAGTTTTGATGGAAAATAATTTATTTTGTGGTTTTGGAGAAGAGCTCAGCAAAAACCTATTAATGCTTATAGGACCAGAAATCAAATCAAAGGCATCTGAGAACAGTGAATTTCCCTATCTAAAGCCTCTCAGATTCAATCCATGATTCTTAGCTATACTATTATTGTTTGAAGAGCTTTAAATGGAGAAGTCAGAACAGTTTTCTATAATCTACCTTCAGATGAAGTGCCACGTGCCACATTTTGTCTAAAGGAAAACAGTTTGTGACACCTAGTGGACAAGAGGAAAATTTCTTACCCTGTGCTACATTCTTCCTAATCATATTCCAGTCCCCCCCTCCTTTTTAATTTTTTTATGTTTTCCCTACCTATTGTGATAAATTTTACGATAAAATACCATTAATCTTGTGAATGTTGTGTGCCTGAGGCGAGTGCATGGGACAAAAGACAGCTGCTTCCTTTCCTACTGCAAATTATTTGAAATCTGATTTACCCTGGACAAATAGGCTGTAAATCCATTGCAGAGCCCCATGATATCAGCAGAATGGCAGTGCCTGTGGCCAATCTGCATATCTAGTGGGTATTTTTGCTCAGTGTCCTTTAAAGTAATACTGAGTTTGACTAACCCCCAAGTCAAAGTGCATTAATGTCAAATCACTCAGGCGTGTAATGGCTGGCTGAGTGTGTCCTGGCAGGCTCTGACACTGCAGGAGCTCTCAGCAGCTGCTCCTGACACAACCAATTATCACTGGTATTAATAACTGGGCCTGCACACTCGAGACAGCTCCCAGTCCTTTAGCTGAGCACCTTGTCAATCAGAAGCTACACTTAGGCCTAACCAGTCCCAACTTCCCTTCCTCCCCAAAACCACTGTCTGTTGTACCTGTGCTCCTCCCTGGGCTCTGGGAATCTGGGTTCCCTTAGAGCATGTCAAGGTGAATAACTGAACTTAAAATCTCTCTCTGGAGCTGTTAGCGGGCATATTGATTAGAAATGAACACCTAGCAAAACAGCTTCCTGCTTTTTCATTTCCTGCCATGCATCGCTTCACTGTAACAGGGATACTCAGAGGTGATGTGTCTCCAGGACTCCCCTGGCTCAGCTCCCAGTTTGTCATTAGCTGAGGGGACCTGTTAGCTCTGGACCCCATTTTCACCTCTTAAATTGCAGTTGCAGGAGAAGTGGATCTAATTTCTATTTAGGATCCCTTCTTTAAGCTCCCATGGATGTGCTATGTATGCTTCAGATAAAGGTGTGGATCAGTCATCACCAAATGCCTCAGGGGATAATCATTTCCCTGTGCTGCTCCATGCTCCCTTTGCTTAGAAAGGCTGGCTTGTCCTTAGAGACAAGAGCACAGTGTGCTCTGCCTTCACCAACAATGTGCCCTTTGTACCTTAGGACTGAAGGAGGAGTTTCTAAAGGTGCCACTGTTGGTGTGCTGCTGGATCTGAACAAGCACAACCTGACCTTTTACATCAATGGGCAGCAGCAGGGGCCTCCAGCGTTTGAGAACATCGAGGGCGTCTTCATGCCTGCACTGAGCCTCAATCGAAATGTCCAGGTAAATCTGCTGTCCAGCCCCACCTACCCTTTCCAGCTAAAGGAGCTGATGGCATCTCCTATGGGTAGTCAGTTCAGACAGGGGTTCTTTTCCTTCTCAGGCTTACATCTAGGCTTCTTACACTCTTCGGACCACATTTGGCTTTCTGCCTTGCCTGACCAATGTAAAGAGTACTGCTGTAAAACAAGTGAAAGTACCTGCATGCACTAACTCCTGCTCTGATTTTCCTGTGATGCTCCACTTGGAAAGCAGTGTCTCTAAAGTTCTCCCCTGCCAGTTTGACTAAAAACCATCTTAATTCCTCCTAGATCTCATGTTTGGAGATAATTAACATTGGCAAATGACTGAAGTATGAACAGCACAGTGGTAAGGAGAGCAAAGGAAACATAGGTCAGAGAATTGGCACAACAGAGCATATCAGTCAGCACATCATTCTTGTGCTCTGTGTACAAGAGGTTTTCCTCTTGGAGGAACTGTCTATAAAAATAATGCATTTTTACTTCAAGACCACTGCTTATGGCTAGAAACCAGGTGTGGTATGAGAGAGAACCTGTGGAAACACCCAGGAGCCTGAGGACTGAGGGAGGTCAGCTTAGGTCAGGCAGGACCAGGACAGCCAAGGTGGAGCACTCATCATGTCCATGGGCTCCACTGTGTGACCTCTGTCCTGAAGCAATTGGGGTCCCTCGTGCAGACATCCCATCAACCTTCTACCTACCTACCTACCTACCTACCTACCTACCTACCTACCTACCTACCTTCTGGATACCTACAACTGGTGGCTGGATTTGGGAAAAGATACAGACACCTGGCTTCTTGTTCCCAAAGTATTCAGGAGGGAAGGGGGAAGGAGACTTGTTCATTTCTAAGGCTAGATATCATCTCTATTGATAGTCTTGATTTAAACTTGGACCTGCAGTCCCGCAGCCCTTTCCATGTCATTTGCCTGCACTTTGCCTTCACAAATGCTCTTTGCTGAGGATGTCTCAGTTTTGAATCTAATGTTATTTCTTCTTTGTGCAGGTGACCCTGCACACAGGACTGGAGGTGCCACAATCTGTAAAACAGCCCAAGCTGCCCAACAACTAATGAAGCCCCGTCTGACACTGTGCTGGATTCTGTAAGCTTTCTCAGTGTGTTTTGGCACTTTTCAGAAAGTCAGTAAAAAAAGCATCCTCTTCCCTGACTTCAAACACTGTGCAGCATGCTGCTCACCGAGTAATCAGCTGGTTAGAGCTAGGCCACTCCATTTTCAATTTAACAGCCATAGCAAGCACATCCACTGGACTGGCACTCAACTGCAGATGGGTACCTGAACATATCTACTCTGCGTTGCATACATATGTACACTCATGTGCACACACACACACAAACACGTCTGCAAAGCAAAAGGTTAAATGAGTGTATTTTCTCTCTCATGGCTGGATTTGTGCTTAAATATTAGGGATGCTGGAAAAAATGGATGAGCCTGAAGGACAGTGGATGTTGGAGCATTTTAGCAGTAGATGAACTGGATTCCCTTGCCACCTGAAGTCCTTAAATGAAGAAAGCATATGTTTTGACAGCTGAAGTGGAGGTTATATGCTCAAGAATTCCTGGTTGTCAATTCCTTTCAGGGGCTCAAATGATCATGGATTATTCCTTCTGGCTCTAGACTGCAGTAAGCTATAGGATAATGTCCCCTTAGAATTCAGTGGCAGAACTTATCTGCAATGAGAACAAGATTGGTTCCCAAATGCTGCCATGAAATATCTGGGTTCATTTTAGCTAACACCATGATACATGCAGAATTCAGGTACAGAAAGTCAAAAGAAAAACATCCTTGATGCATTTTAGTGTTTTTTATTTAGGCATGACTACGGAGACACTTCCAGAAGATCTGATTGTGGTTATCAGCACAACTCTTAAAAAACAGTGCATGGGAGATTCCTTTGAACTGAAATAAGATTTATTTAAATAGGGCACATGCAAAGTCTCCCACATTGAGAAATGATGCTTTCCAGCCTTGATCCTAATAAAACCTGTGCAGCTGTAGTTCCAATGTAGCTTTGAGATCTGAAGCCTTAATTTTCTATTAGATTACTGTGAGCTAAATAAAGTCTTGATCCTAATGAAACACTTGAGAGAGATTAATAGCAGTAATGCAAAACCAATCCCTAAGAATTTTTCTGGATTGGGACATAAATCTTTTGCAAGACTTGACCTGTGCCTGGCATGTCCCACGAAAACAAGCAGCCATTTCAGGTGCTGCCTGTGACAACTGGAGTCTGACTGACAGTGATCTTTTCTCACAGCCATGGCACTGTCACCTGCAGGCAGTTGTCAGAAAACCAAGCACTGGTTTGCCTGTGTGCTTTGTTTCCTCTGAACCCAGTTAAGGTGTGCATGTGTGTGTGTGTGTATAGTGGCAATGCGTGAGGACGAGATGCAGCAGTCTTGGTGAGCCCATGACATCTTGGACTCTTGTCACTCTAACCCTACAGAAATGTGGTGCTATCGAACAAGAAGAGCATAAACTTTCAAATCCTATCAATGTACTATTTTCTTTTTTAAAATCCTGCTGCTTATACAAATTTTCCTCTTTAAGCATACATATACGCACACACATATCAGGCATGTAATTATTAAACCTGAAAATAAATATTCTGACCAAAATCCAGCTTACTGCCTTGCATTAAGGCACAGCCATAGGACAAACAGCCCAGGCCTGCCTTCAGGCAGCCTGCCAGCCCCCAGATATCCTGCTGCAGGCCCCCTTCTGCTCTCTGTCTGGAGCACATCACTCAGGTAGTGCTGAGTGATGGCAAGGCTTCCCTGTGGCAAACAGCCAGAATCTCCCATGGATCATCCCACCTCACAGCCATTGTGGGAAGGGAAAGGCAGCCCAGAATAGAGCTGGGCTATTGCACAGACACAAAGCAGTCTGCCATCCTGCTGGCTGTAGCCAACCAAGTATCCTGTAGCCCACCTCTCCTGCAGGACAGCCACGCACCTTCAGCAATGTCAAGAATGAAACAGGAAATAAAACCAACAATGGAAAAATAATGACATATGCTTTTAAGTGAGGAAGCAACAGCACTTCCTTTAAAGTCTGGAATGGATTGTATTAGTAAACTTGTCGACAATGGAATAACTGTGCTATGCTTATCTTGGTTTTGTAAGGAATAACAGAGACCAACTGTGTTATTATCTTCGGTTTCATTCAATACCATACGAACTCATGCAAGATTTTCTAATTAGCAGGTCTGTTTTCACCTACCTCAGCTAGAATGCTACCAGACCCCAAATTTCCTCTTGAGTGTGCTCTTCAATGAACCTAACAGTTGTAATCATAGCATTGGCTTTGAGTATTGCCAGTCAGAGTAGTGTATGGGAATATTGTACATAAATTGCACATAGTTTTTATATTGGGAAACATCCTGTGATAATTTTAATATGGAAGGCACTCCACTTCCACTTGTATTCAAAAAGACAGGGCATTGTTTCTTTTGGGACAGAACCTTTGTCTTTACTCCCAACTTCTATAAAGGAAACTCAAATGAATTTACATCTTTCCAATCTTCAACCATTGCCAGATGTTTAAAATGAATTCTGAATGGGTTTTAGAAGTGTTTGCAGTACTCAGTTTTTGTTTTCATAGTTGCTTTGGTGTTGGTTCCTGGTGTATTATGTCTTGGGGAGAACACATTGAGTGACATGTTGTTGATTTCTAGTGAATATATGACAGTAGGTAGGAACAGTGAGTAGAGAAGCTCAGTTTTTACCCTCTATGCATTCCAACATTCACAAAAGTAGGGTAGCTACCATTATAGTCTCCTTTTAATCTAGCAGAAATGCAAATAAGTTAAAAGGAATACAGTTAGAAGTAGGCTACCTGCATTAGTAAGACTACTTTACCTTAGGTAAAGAACTAAACAAAGCGTTTGCATGTGTTGGTTGTGTACACAATCAAGGACTTAAATTTGGCATGGCCTGTAGCAATAAACCTGTTATCCTCATAGAGTGCACTCTTGTGACTTCAGCTGGATACATTTTCCTAGTTTGATTAACAGAAATAATGCCTAAGTAGTTAAAATTACTCTAGGAAACTAACAACTCCACCCATTAATATTTATGCAGAGCTTGCAGGGGCCATCTGAACAGCAGCAGGGAGAGGTGGGGCACTCCCATTGCTCTGCTCAGGCTGGAGGTAGTTTCCTTCTCTGCAGGCAACTTCCCCAAGGTCCATCTCATTACAAACCCAGCAGTTTGCACATTCTTCATCTATAGTATCTCTTACGCCAGTTTTTGTTTCCTCCAAATCCTTTCTTTGGGAGGGAGCCAGCATTTAGTTCCTGTAGAAACTGCAATGCTGACTGTTCAGGGAGAACCCAGAGCGCAGAAGAGTGGAATAGATACCCAAGGGGACCACTTTGTGTGCTTTTCTTCCTTTTGTTCCCTCAGAGTATTTCTGCAGCTCTCTGGGGCTCCAAGCTCACCCAAAGCTGGCTGTCATGGGACTCTTCAGCTCCTAGAGGCCAGGTTGCTTCTTGTAAGCAGGAGAGCAAAGCCTCTTGCACTGGGATAAATCCATCCACTATGGTACAGAGGCTACACGAGGTAGCTGTAAATTGACTTAACATTTAAAAAAACCCACCAAAGCACAAACAGGCCCTCCCCTTATTAACAAAACAAAGCTTGACTTCTGCACACACCAGTATGGAACCTCTGAACGGCTGCAAAGTAAATACCGCAGTTGAACTTTCTGTCCTGCAGAGCAACAAAGGACTCTCAGTTTTCACCTACCCCTGGGGGCCATAACCTTAGCCTTTTGTAAACCTTCTTCCTGGCTCTTTCCTCTGCCAATTTCTATTAAGTTCAGGAGCACAGTCAGACTTCCGAAGGCATGCAATTCTATACAAATTCCACTTCCTCCTTTTCCCTCATCAACTTGAAAAGAGCTCACAAGATCTCTTAGTAAGACTTAAAGTCAATATAAGCACACATGTAGCTGACAATCCCTTGCTCCTTCTGCTGTGGAAAGGTATGTGCTGTAAAATAAATCTCAGTGAGGACAGTAATATACTGTGATGTATTACAAATTTGGAAAGCAATTTGACTTCTAAAAACATAGAAAAGATGGGCAAACAGCACTGTCACCTCCTATACTTGCCTATGCACTTAAGATACATAGAGGAAAATATATTGGACTGAACAAAATAAATAAAATAAGCATGAGCTTACATTTATCAGAGTTTAAGAGGAAAAAGTATTAAATGTAATTTATTATATGCATAATGTTCCATCATGTTGTAAATAATGCCATGATAGTGTATTGCTGTAGTTTGTTCTTGGCTGGTGATAGAGTTCTGTGGTAGTGCTGTGTAAGTTGTTTTTTATTTTATTTTTTTTCCCTCAAAGCACAGTTAGTAAAGATGACAGAGACCACCCCACACTCTGGTTTCCCAGTTGTTCTAGAGGAAGAAGAAATGTGAGACGCAGCTTGTTTTGTTGTTGTTGTTTTCTTACATGACAATATTTCTTAAAGTAAGAGAGATTAAGGCTAAGCTGCCACCACCACTGTATGAAAACCACTGTGTTTGCAACTGCCAAAAGAGGTAGTGTATTTATGGACCACAATTCAGATCATCTGTCCCTGTGAAAAGGGACACAAAATTCCACAACCTGGGAACAGCAGCTTTCCGGTGCCACCTGGTACATCCTTTGGTCACAAACAGAAAGATGAGGAAGGAGAGTTGTTAGACCTTATCTCAGGCTTTACTAGCTTTGCAGCATTCTGCTTTAAATAGGAAAACCAAGAATTCAATTTCGAACCAGGCAAGGTAACATGAAAACACCAAGCATCTTGGCCAGATCAACTTTGGAAGGGAGATTACAGGTACAGATCAGCCACATTGCAAATGTAAAGGGCACTTGTCACTGAAAATTACCAGGCAAAGATGGAGAGACCTTTTATTTTTTTTTTTAGGGAAAAAAAGTGAGCTGCTTCTAGTTTTTACTGACAACATTTCTGGTGGTTCCTCTGCCCAGCTCTACTGAATGCTGCACACACACAGCTAGGTGGAGCAGCAGCCTGAAGCACAAATCCATCATTAATAGGACACACTTGGTCTTCCCAGGTGCAGAAAGAAGCCCATATGCAAACCCAAGAGACTAGATGTGTGGGGCTCCTGCATCATTGCACAATACAGGAGACAGATGTGTGTTTCACTGACAGAGGCACTCAGCAGCATTTTCCCCTTCTGTTAAATGACCTTTTTGTTACATTTGTTATTGCAAACAGTTCCAAGCTGAATTAATGAAAAAATTATTTTTATGCTAATTGGAGAATTTCTAACATTTTCTTGTGAAGCAGTAGATAGAAATATTCCTGGATCCTGATTGCATTCCTTTATCCTCCACCTCCCTTAAATGTTGTCAATAAAAACACTAACCTTCCTAGGTAGCATGGTGAGAAGACATTATGTGATGAATATTAAAAATAAATGCATGAGGTAAACCTGCTGTTATTTCTGATTGTTATATGAAGCATGAGTAACACTAATTTAAATGTTGGCAACTAAAAAACTGCAAAGGAAAAAGAAAACGGTGTTCAATTCCAGTTAAATGGAAGACAAGAAGTTGTTTCTAAGTTTTCTTAACTACAACATTTCTTTTCTTTACTATCATTTCCCATAGCTTATATGAATTTGGAGCTGGTGAAATATACATCTCTGCTATATGTGTCTGTCACCAGATCAAGAGGAAAATACAAACTTTTTATAATTTTGTACCTGTAGCAAACGTTTGTATTTTTTGAATTAGAAACAAACTGCTTTTTGTCTTTTGGTCCAACTAAAACTTTGTGTATTATTAATATTATTACCCTTTTGGAAAACCTGACATATAAGTTTATGCTGTTTTACAGTTTATAAATAAATTCTTATAACATTGCCAACAAATCCAGCATCAGTACCCTATTTATTTTTACAAATTATGACTACGTAGATGAGGCATTCATACAGTTTGCCTGCCTATCTCCTACTGTTGATACTGCTTTGTTACTTACAGTCAAGAATAATCCACTTAATGGAGAAAGCCAAGAGTGTCCTTCCTTAGAGCAACCATCAGACATATCCTGATTCAGTGGCATGGAACACCTCTCTTTGTCAGCACTGCTCTGCTAGCTCTGGCTCATGTTGCTTACAGAACACCTCAAAACAACTTGGAGACATGATATGAAAAAGCAAACCTATCTCCATGTAACAGAAGGCTTTCATAATGCATACACACATTAAGTGTGAAAATCAAAACTTTGAATAAACTTTTTGTTTCCTTCCCCCAAAAAACTTTCGCATTCCACTGTCGACTTGGCATTTCAGTTTTCAACTTTTTACTTTAAGAACTGATTTTTTTCAACTTGTTAGAGATCTTACAAGCTCGACTGCAAAAGTTACATTCCACTCTGACTAAATTTCACTCCCAAGTAGCTTTTGGGAGCTGTGGAGGTGGAAAGTGAACATTTTAACTTACCAAAATTGATGGAGAACATGAAGTCCCACAAGTGAGATGAACAAAACTTTATCACGAAGTGAGCAGTAAAAACTAAGCTCAAGGATTAACCATGAATTGTAAAATACAGGTTATCTTACAACATCCAAAGCAACAGCTGTTGCCTCAACAAGTCTTGATGCTCTGTACTAAATTCTTAGTGATTACACCTTCACACGCCATCGTGATTTGACATTTCCCTAATGTCAAATAAGTCATTAAGTCTGTAACCAGACAGGAATCTTAATTCTAGTTTGAATCTGCAACCAATACTGAGTAAGAAATCAAATTATGCAATTAGGAAATGTGATAACAGCATTTAGCAACCAAACTCTGCACACCCCTTCTGTTCTTACATGGCTCCAGAAACACTCCCTTCTGCTTGTTCTCTGGCACTTGATCCCTTCAAGCCCTCTCCCTACTCTTGGTCCTCTCTGTGCTGGCAGAGCAGAGAGCAAAGTAAGCTGGAGGGTGTGGGGGAAGCCGTGTGCCAGAAAGCATCCCTGTCCACGGTGTGGCTCTCCCTGTCCCAGAACACTTTCCTATCCTGGGAGGGGCAGCCTCCAATGGTGCTCCAAGCTTGGCAAGACACAGACCTCAGGTCCGGGATCACCTTGCTCAGGCTCCCAGCCCACAGGGGTACCAGTACACCTGAAACAAGTTCCTGCTGTGAGGGCTGTTTTCCTTACCATGTACACATCCTTCACTGCCAAAGCTGTTCCAACAAGCTCCACATCTCCTCACAACACACAACAAATTCTGTCATTTAAGTTATCCTTATCTTTGTCTCCCCCTAAAATACTGAACTTTCATTTTGGAAGTGTTACTAACAATTGCCATTTCTAATGGTTGGACCTTAAAAGTAACAAAATAAAGTATTTAGCTACAGAAAACAGTCAGTGTTGTTCCAGAAACACCAGACTGCTGAAACCCGAATAGCACCAAAAGGCAGTTTTGGTAAAGATTTCATAGAAAGGCCTTAAGAAGCATGGAATCAAATCAAACATGAGTTAACTGGAACAACCAGTAGCTTTTGAGTGTCCATGCTCATTTGGCTCAGTCTTAGATGGTTTTGTTTTGAAAAACCAAACAACCAAGCCACCAAACCACTATTCCAAAGTGCTTATTTGGAGATCTCTACAGAGATATACAAAGATGAGTGTGTAATTCTTGCCTGGGACAAAACTTCAGAAAAGTATTATTTTCATTCCAAAGCAGGTAATTTTGAACCATTAAGAGGTTTTGCTAGACAGAAAAATTATTGTGCAGTTCCACTATCCACTAATAATCTATAAGGATACAGAAACTGATTTATGTCCAATAAATGTTTGGAGAATGCCTACTTCCAGTTCAGAGTGAGTAAGATATTGCTTTTTCCAAATTCCTTCCATATGAAAGATATATTTATATTAATCCAAATATATATTTATATTAATCAATTACTTTATGGATTAAATGAGTATTTTACTTACAGCCAATAAGCTGATTCTACAAAAAAAAAGGGCTTTTTTAGCACATATTGACTAATAAAAATAGCCTGTATAACATTCTTAATAAGAACTCTAATCTTTATTATCTTTATTTATAAAATAGTAAATTCTAATACCCATCCCAAAGCAGAATGGTACATAAAAATCCTGTAATAACAAATAAGATTAAAAAATTAGGATATGGTGCTTAGGCAAAAGGCCCCAGAAGTCTGTGTTGCTAGCAATGTGAATTCTCTTATGCATATTTGCATATTGTCCATTTCACTCTGTATCATGAAGTTCATTTTCTAACTTTAGATGATTTAATTTTCTTTATGTCACGGCTTTGCAGAATCAAGGTCCCATTTCTGAATTTTCCAACTTGTCCTGCAGGCCAAATGCTAGGCACTGATTTCTTCCTCTTGGCCTTCCTGAAAGAGGGAGAGGAAAAACAAAAATTAAAATAAACAGCAGAAACACAGGTAAATGCTTAATATGGTGAAAAAGCCACCTATTTATGCAGAGTTTGGTATTATGGACTATCACACCATAGCACGTAAAAACTTCAGAACATTTTTCCTTCATAGACATGCAAAATTTACAGCACATTACAGCACGATTTACATTTTTAAAAGTTTAGAAACACGAAGATTTTTGGATAGAGAAGGAAGACAGAGTACAGAGAAAACCTGCAGCACCAGGATTAGGAAATGTCAGCTCACTTTCAAGCCTCTGTATACTGTAGCTTATGCTTTGCAGAAATTATCTCTTAGGGCAAATGCTCTGAGCAAGTGGTGTCTCATGAGTCTGCACACAGGGATTTTCATCCCTCTGACCTCCCGCTGCAGTCTTAAGAGGTGTTGAGGCAGAACTGACATACTCTTAAGAAAAGCTGTGGAACTGAAGCCTCTGGAACAGCTTGGCACTGAGCAGTGTCACTATTTTTTGAGGAGTTCAGCTCCCAGAGAATTTTGTTGCACTGTGATGTGCATGATTTCTGGAGTAAGACTGTGCAATTACACAGGGGAGATACACTGGGGAGACCATGTTAAAAACACCTCACCTCTCCTGTTCTTTCTGCTTCTTCTTCTTCTTAAGAGAATCACCTTTATGTTCCTGTTTTTAAAGACACATATTTTAATGAAAAAGGAACAGAGCATGCTGGTTAAACAACCACCTGCACAAAGAACATTCAGTAAATAGCCTTTACTTCACAGAGCAGCAGGAACTTAAAGCAAGTTGGGAGACCTTCTGACAGAACAAGTGATGCAACATATTATGGAGCCACTGCCAGGAGCACCCAGAGCCCCTCCTAATGCCTATGGAAAGCACAGCCCACTCACGACCAACGTGCTGTCCTTGCCACGTGCAAAGCAGAGGCTTCCTTCTCGGGCATGTGACAGATGCCAAGGTCAGAAGATGGACTTGCTACCAGGCAGGTGAGTCCTGTCACCCAGCTGAGGGCAGCTGTCAAATAACAGGTTCAGCTGTGACTGGTCATGCACCTTGAGCCACATGACAGAGCAGGAGAAGTAGGTCCCTGGGGAAGAGGGCGGCAGGAAACAGGCTGATAGAGCAATTACCAGCCCCACCAGCCTGCTCCCACCTACATGGGAAGGCTCCATAAGGAGGTAGAGAGTAGGCTTAGAGCCAGATGGGCTGTGCTAGAGGATGGATGCAACAGAAGCCTCACCCTTGCTTTAAATAATGAGTAGGATCCTAGATGGAATTTTGCTGATAAAAAAGCACTTGAAGATCTGGCTCCCTATGGTCAGACAACATGCAACAAACTTTAATTGGGGACCATTCTGTTTCCTCTTAAGAGGGAAGGATAAAAAAAACCCCACTGCTGATTTTGTGTCATCAGTCTATCAGCCTGGAAGGGTGAGGCAGTGAAACCAACCACAACACAAGCCTAACTCTGTGTCTTCATAGTGCACACAACCAGCTTTTACCAATGAGATTAATCCTGTAGGAGCCAGGAGCCCAATCCACAGAGAGCAGCAGGTGTCAAGCTCAGGCACTCCTCCTGCTCCTGAGGTGTTATTATCTGTCAGGCTCTTTTAAAGAGGGCTGGCTCCTACACACTGCTTTTTCTACAGAAAATTTCATACAAACCTTTTCCTTATCAGCATCTTTCACTGCTTTTTTCTCTTTCAGTTTCTCTTGGTAAGTCCTGTAGTTCATATGTGCCTTTTTGGGGGGCTGCAACAAAGATTGGGAGGGATACTGCTGATTAAATTTTCAAATAGGTTCAAAAATTATTCACACACTTGTACAGACAGCATTTTTCACACTGTGGTGGCAAAACATTAGAAATGCTTATTTCCTTTTGGGTGAGAGAAGTGGACTCAAGAGACATCAGGTAATCACAAATTGTTTCTTTCTTGGTGAGGACAGCAGAGCGAGACAATTCTGTCCCGTTATCAGTCCTACAAGGTTTACATACATACTCTGAGCAAAAAAACCCAACCCACTTCCTAAAAAACACCTCAACCATTATTTTTTTGTTTTATACTAGTTATGATGAACTAAAAACTTTTCTCCATCTTTATCTGTCTGTGAGAATGAAGATTTAAAAAGTGAGCCCCACTCTCCAACTATTTATTTGTGAATGGCCTGATTAAAAATCAGTAAATGTTGTTTTTCAGCCTGATCAGTCATATTTAATCTGTAATACTTTCCTGATAACACAACCATACTAATTTTCTAATCATCTACAGAAAATAGACAAGACAGAACAGATGATGTAAAAGTAAGGATGAAGTGAGAGAAGGGTCAGGGCAAGGGATTTTGTGTTTTAAAGGAGTAATACCAAACCCCCTCATGTTCTTTACTGCTTTTCTGCATTGTAACAGCTGGGTGACCTCCAGCACAAACCAAGGGACAATTACCTTGGCTCCCAGCATGATAGCACGCTCCTGTTCCCAAACACGTTGCTCCTGCTTCTTGTAGCCAGTGATTCCAAACTTGTGCACTTCCAGGCGAGCCTAGAACATTGCAGAAAATTGCAGGCATTTCATAATGTCCAACCTGTTGTAAAGCAATGCCTGGCAGAGTTCAATGAAGTCATACTCCTGAGGAAATCCTGGCTAATACTGGAAATTGGTGTGCTATAAAATAAAACTGAGTTCAGAGCTATACTGCAGAGCAGTTAACCACTGTCCAACTAATCTCTGGATGGTGAGGACTGTCAGGAGGACAATTTTCAAATCTCCTCATTTCACATAAGGTAACACATGGAATGGATTTCTTCCATGTAAAAAATGAGCACTTATCACTGAGAAACATGGACAGGCAGAAGGTGGTTTGACTACACACATAGGTAAAGTTAACACTACACAAGCATACCATGGCAAAACCACTAATGAATCCATAATCTTTTTTAAATCTGTGGTTAACTCTCCACCCTCCTTAGCTCCTTAGTACAGAGCTCCATGCAGAATCTCCAGAGACAGATTCCACTGGATCATAACGCATCCCTGAGCCATGATTAGGCACACAAAACAACTTGCACAGATCTGTAAACAAATTAGTAGCTAATAAGATGGCCAATGCTAGTTATGTTCACGTAAGAACAGATGAGAATAAAAAGACAAACGGAAAAAGCAATTTGTTGTTTCAAAAACAGATGCAAATACTCTTTTTTTTTCCTTCCCGCATAAGATGTCAGTGTTTTAACACCATAGGGCAGAAAGAACTATGTTAAACATTATGGGAATTCAAGCACCTTTACACATCCCCCTCAAATTCTCATTGGAAGATCAGAAAGAAAGGCCATGAAGTTGTAACACACCTCTCTCCATATGGAGCAGCTGACTGCTGCCAGCCTTTTCCTCCTTTGGTGTGGCATGTAGCCAGAATTACCTATTAGGAAATCCTCACCTACAAGAGAGATTTCCTATTAGGAAATCCTCACCCAGAATCCTCACCTAGCCATTTCTAGAAAGGTTTCCCATCAGTCCCACCATAGCTTTCTGAAGTATATGTGTACACATAACTGTACACTAAATGAGTGACATTAGTCTGATCCTACTGACTTACCTTTTCAAAGTTAAATTCTTGTCTGACTGCATTTTTCTCTTCATTCACTATTTGAGTCTATAAACAAAACAAAGCATTTCAAATTAATATGACAAGTAACACCAGTTTAAATGCTGACTGGGATAGCTTTCTGAAAAGCAGTGAGATGTAAAGTCAGTTGTATGGAATGATACACAGGTTTCCAGCAGCATTTTTTCTAGCTTTATTACCAGGATCTGTTAAAAGAGACAGTTCCAATGGCATTGTTCTAGGTAAGTAAGAGAAAAACTGCCACGTGTGAGCTATGTATCACTCATATGTCCATTTCCAAACCCATACTGAACAGCTAATGTAGGATAGCTCATGGATTTCAGCTCACTGTCATTTTATTTGAGTCACTGTTACTGACTGGTAACAGTGCATGTACTCACAGCTGGGGCAATATACAGAACAAGCTTAATTCCTAATGGTATGGACATATATTAGTGTCCATATCCAGCTTCACTAATGCCAGAGAAACAGCTCCAAAGGGTGCACTGTCAGCAATGGCAGAACCCACTTAGCAGAGGCTGAAGAAAGCACTGGCTCAAAATGAGCTCAGAGAAAAGTGTATCTTCTCTACTCCACAATTTACACAGACACCTTCCATCAGCAGTTCTCAGTTTGGAGGGGCACTCTCCAGGGGGAATACACTATCTCCTAGAAAGAAAAAGAAGCACAAAAATCCCCAGGGAGGGTTCCATGCTTGCTTGTAACAGGAGTCTCCCCCATGGGACACTGTGGAGCAGTTACAAATCTCCCAGGATTGTCTTAGACCGTCTGCTTTCTGATTTCAGGGAGGATGTGCTGTGGCACCTCTCTGAGTGGAAGCTATGCCCCCTCCCAAGCATGCTGACGCAGGCAGGCAAACTGCCATTACCCTGTTTGCTCCCAAAGGTACAATCCGCTCAGAGGAAACCCGAGTACTACATAAGCATTACAGCTGAACTGAAATACATGTCATGCATTTCCTTTTCACTCTGCAGGACCTCAGGGCACAGTAAGTCAAAGGTTCAGGCCCAAGGGTTACACCAGGGCTTCCCTCTGCATCCACCACAGCCAAACTCCTCTCAGCTCTGCAAGGCTTCTATAGAGAATTGTGATTTCCACCACAAATAAACCCGGTTATCTTCAGAGCATTTTGCTAACAAGCCTAACACCAGTATTTTCAGGTAAAAAAACTCCAGCTATAAAAAAGCTTAAGAGAATTTTTAGAGGAAGACATGCTGGGAAAAGCATAGAAGTTTATGGATTCAAATAACTGCTTGAGTCTCTTGAAGTCCCCAGTCCCAAGCAACCAAATCCCCAATATCAGTAAGTCTCCCTGAACTCAAGACAGCCATATGTTGGCCCATCAGAGCTTATTTTAGAATGGGCTTCTGATATTATGGCCATAAAGACAACTCAAGGAAAACAACCAGAGAAGCTATAAAATCTGGAGACCAATCAACCCCTCAGCTCAGCTTCTACCCAAACCTATCCAGATCTCCCTGCTGAAGAAATTCAGCTACAGTTTTTGGTAGTGCAAAGCAGTTTAGTGGTGAGAAACCAAACCAGAGGACTGGTTGATATCTAATGCTGTCATGCCTTCCCCCACTGACTACCCAACACCGATCCTCCAAGAACAAATGCTGCCTGCCAATGGCCCAGTGCTGCTGTGATGCCAGAGAAAAGAAGCAAGTTTTAGCACTTCGCATCCACAGCTACTGACAGGAACAGAGCAGCACACAAAACTCTGGGCACTGAAGTAATCAACAGGCTTTGACTTCCATCTCTTTCACTTCCTGCCGTAACATCAGGCCTGTCAGCAAATCAATTTAGTTTGCTGACATGCGCCTATTTCAAACACAGGATTCTTATCCAGAGATCTGAAATTGATAAAAAATTGGTCTTCAAGTCCTACCCCCTCCCCTGCTTCATCCTGCCCCTGTTTCCAGCAGCCCCACTGGGAATCAGCAGGACCAGATGCCATCGAACTGAGCACGCGGATGGCCAAACCATGCGGATTTCCAGGCAGCTGTACCACAGGAGGGACAAATCCAGGCACGGCAGAGGGCTGGAGCGCCCCACGGCGCCCACCCTCGGGCAGGGCCGGCTCGGGGGCAGCGGGGACAGCGCCCGCCTGGCTCTACCTGTGCTGGGCCCACGGGCGCTGCCGAGGGGCCGTGCCGCTCCTTCCTCTTCCTCCCGCGGAACACCACGACCTCCACGGCGGGCGGGCCGGCGGGGGCCGGCGGGGCAGGGCTGGCGGCGCTCAGCTCGGCCCGCAGCTCCCCGAAGAAGCCGCGGGCCCCGCGCCGCCCGCCCGCCGCCGGCTGAGGCTCCCGTCTCTCCTCCTCCTCCTCTTCTTCCTCCACTGGCGGCAGCACTGCTCTCGCTTCGCCGTCCGCTGCAGCGCACCGCCCGCCTCCGGGCTCCTCACCTGTGCCGAGCACATGCCGTGGGTCAGCTCCGCGCCGCCGCTCCGCTCCAGAGCGCCCATGCCCGGCCCCCTCCCCGGCCCCCCGGGAGGACCGTGGTGCCGGCGCAGCGCCCGGCCCGGCCCCCCGCACCCACCCAGGTCGTAGAGGGCGCCGAGCACCGCCTCCAGCCGGCGGCGCGGCTCCCGCGGTCCCATGGCTGCCGCGGCGAGCGGGCGGGCCGGCGTGTGACCCCCGGCGGCTCCCGTCGCACCCGACATGGCGCCGCCCATGGCGCGGTGCCCCCGCCTTCTGCCGCCGCACCGCGCCAGGCAGCCGGGCCGGGGCGGTGCGGGGCCATGGGCGCCGCGGGAGGCGGCGGCGGGCGGCAGGGCAGCGCGACGGGGTAGGGCAGGCGAGCGGGGCGCGGGGCGGCGCGGCGGAGCTCGCAGGACTATGGCGACGGCGGGGGCGCCCGGGCGGGCGCGGCGAGGGGCGCCCATGTACTCGGTAGGCGGCAGCGGCGGCGGGAGCGGTGCCGCGGGGAAGGGGCTGCTCACCTCACCCGCTCTTCGGCGGTGCCGCTCTCTCTGAAGGGGAATGACGGTGCTTGGCGCAGTCTGCCCCTCCATCCCTCACCCCCGGTTCGTGTCCCCGGGGAAGGGGAACTGCGCTCCGGAGGGAGGGACGAGGCCTCTCCCGGGCCCCGGCGGGACCGGACCGTTTTCCCTCAGCAGTTCATCTTCCCGCGCGCCCTTCGCTGCCTCAGCTGCTCCTTCACTGCCTGTCGTGACAGTCGCGACAGCCAGAGCTCCCGATCCCGAACGCCGCGGCTCCCTCAGAGCTGCCGCGGCAGGCCGGCCGGGCTGGGGGCAGTGGGAAGTGTCTCCTCCTGAGGGAGGCAGCGTCCCGGAGTCCGGCTCTCTGCGGGGGCAGGGGTCCGGACACCGGGCGCTCCGCAGGGCTTCAGCCCGCAGCAACCTGTCCTGCCAGCCATGGGGAACTCCGGGCTGGGAGGTTGTCGTGGGCATGGAGCGGCCGAAGCGGGTTTTCCCGTGTTACACAGTGTAAATTACTTTCTTGACCTTGTTCGTTCCCCGCAGCTCCTTCGCCAGCCTCAGACAAGGAGGTTTAGGTGTGGGGTGCTAAACCCCACCTCTCTGCAAGCGTTTGGCGGAGGGGACTAGGGAGAGAGGGAAACCACTTCTTGTTTCAGCGGAGATTCCCAAACTTCTGTGTCTTGTCCGTGTGCTGGTATCCCAAGGGCATCGCGAGCACCATCGTTACATTGCATATCCTAGTTATATGGAAACAGAGGAGTTCCAGGCTCCTGCTGTTTTGCTTCCACCCTTCACCACTGTCACAGTAACAGTGTGTGCCACCGAATCTTCTGATGTCCGGGTTTCCAACAGTATGTTTTCCAAGTGTCTTCTCTACCAGCTGGAAATTGAAGCTGGAACAACAGCTTGGCTATAATGTGTAAAAGCACAGTTGCAAATCCTTAGTGTTTGGTAAAGTGTGTGGTTTGGCTCCCTCAGTGCTCCTTCAGAACAGGGCATGAAAATAACTATTGCCATGGAGAGAATTCAGTTGCACATCAAGTCTGAAGACCTCAGACGAAGAGCAGAGGCAGAGAGGTGATTTTTCAGTGGGCCATGGCCATAGCAAAACTCTGCTCACAGGAGTTGTGCTGGGGAACAGCTGCAGCAGTGTGGTGACTGCTGATGTGGCTGATCATGCCTGTGCTGAGTGCTGCCTTTCTTTGTCTGGATTTCATGTAGTTGCAGATTGCAGGATTTTAACTTTTTGTAACTGACATAAACACTGCTTAGATATTCTGAGCAATGACTTGTCACATACTGATCTGAGTAGGTGATACTTAGAGTCATTTTCTGCTACTATTCTGAGCTTTTTTTGCCATTATACAACATAAGGGATTTATTTTTGTTTTATTTTAATCAAGAGGTTTGATATAAGGTGTCAACAGCAACAGATGGCTGATAGAAACTATTTGCAGTCGTCTTAACAGATCTTAGCTTACTCAGCTCTTGCAAAATACTAACCAATTGAAAGCTGTGAAAGAAGAGAGGTTGAAAGCTGTAATGCTAAATCATACAGGACAAAACCCCCTAAAAGTTTTAATACCTGTATGGGATTGTTTTGAAAGTCCCTGCTGAGTTTGTTCTGCAGTTAATTCTCTAAACTGCAGCTGTGGAAAGAAAAGTTATACAATCTACTAAATGCAATTATAGTAGAGGGATGATCTCCAAATTTGCCTGTCCTGTGTGGGTAAAAGAACTTGAGAAGGTCAAACATTATAGTGAGATTTGTGTCCTCCAATAAAACGAAATTGACTTTTGATACAGATGAGGCTTTGAAGGATTTTTTGTCGTTCTTAAGTGGAGATATTCCTGATTTGAGTTGTTTTGTTTTGTTCCACCAAATTACCTTGTGGTGATGAATGGACAGGAGCTAAAGGTTTGCTCTCTCCAAATGTCAGCTGCTCTGACCGTGTTGCTGATGTGGCTCTAGTTGGCTGGCTGGCAGTGAAACCCGACTCCCTCTCCCAAGGCTGAAAACCCAGCTGCCACTGCTGGGCATTTTGCTTATCTCTTGCTGGTGTTCCCCTGTGTGTTGCTGGCCAGGCTTTCCACTCAGCACCAGAAAAGGTCACTGAAGGAGCTCATGAAGCATGTTTTATCCTTCATTATCAGTTTGGTTCTGCACGGGTCAGATATAGAAAGGGGAGGTTGAATGAGTGAAAAGATTGCCAGTGCTACTCTTCAAGTGGAACTGTGGAAGAAGACATAAGCATTTTTATTTTTAATATCTTCTAATAAATATGTTTGGTCATAACTAACACTTTTTTTATTTAACAGAGGCTTACTCCAGTTGTCTTACTTACCTGGTGGCTGTTGCTGCTGGTTTGAAGCCTGGAGAAATACAGTTTCACTCTTGGGAAGACTGAAGGGTCATTCATACAAACTGTAGTGATACAGGAGATAATAGGAGACATCTCTCTCCAGCACAAGGGTCTGGTAGCTCAAAGGGAAGAGTTTTGTCTGAATTTTTTGCAGCAGGATGGAACCACAATTAGTTCTTGGTGCCCTGGGGTTTTTCCTGCTTGGCAGTGGTGGTACTGATTACTCAGAGGCTGTGCTCTCTTTTTACCTACATGTGCACCGTATTGCATTCAGGTGGCTGACAGAGAGGTATCTTGTTTTTTTTTTAATTTGTTCTTGCCTGGTAATGTTTCATGCACCTTACATCCAAGCTGTGTGAAAGCTACAAGTCACCAAGGTTCCAGATGCAACTTTTAAGTAGCAGGGATTATTTTCTGTGTGTTGATGATTGGGTTTTTATAATGTGAATCATGGTATTGTCTTCATGAAGCTGTGAGAGTTGGAATCAAAAGTCTTTTAGTTAATACCTATTAATTACAGAGAGGCTGGAGGCAAGACACTTCAGCTTTAAAAACCCATGTCTTCTCGCAGTTTCTCCCTGTTGTGTGGAATTAAGTAACATGGCATAGGGTGATTTTAAGATCTTTGCAGTTGAAGGGATTAGGGTAAGGGTTTTTTTGAGGGGGGGAGGAAGAATTAAGTAACAAGGCATATGGTGATTTGGGGATCTTTGCAATTGAAAGGAATTAGAGTGAGGGGTTTTTTGGGGGGTTGGGGGGGTGTATGTTTGTTTGTTTATTTTGCTTTTTAGTTTCTTTGTGGATCACTCTTGTAAGCAGGTGGTATTGCTTCCTGCAGTCACAGAGTGTAACATGCAGACATTATTGAAAGCTAACAAGAAACCCCAAATGTTGCAGAAGTAGCACATATCATTATTTTGGTGCTGTAGCCAAGCAGGTCACCAAACAGCTTGAGACAGTGTCTCATTCTTCATTTGTATGTTCCTAGCAGAAAGAGCTCACATCAAAGAAAAGAGATGAGTTTGAGGATATCTTGGAGGAAAGACGGTTGTCCAGTGACTTGAGATACGCCATGAAGTGTTACACCCCGGTGATCTACAAGGGACTTTCACCTTGCAAGCCCAATGCTATCAAAAGTGCTGTTCTCCACTCAGAGCAAGTTCAGTATGTTATCAAGCAGGTGAGTCTGGACAATGAGCTCTAAGATGAAGTGGATCACACAGCCAAGCTTTGTGTGGCAGCAGGGAAAAAGAAATTGTTGCTGACCTTGTTAAAATGGTAATTGTAGTTTGGAAGGTGGTCCAGTAAATAAATAACTCTTTTGGCAGGAAAAAGAAAATACTGGAGTTGCCACTAAAACTGGCAGGTTCATGAAACAGTGTTTTGATTTTGCATATACAACACTTCATCATTATTTTATCCAGTGTGCCTGACTTCTTTTTTCTCTTTCTCCTCATACTCCACTGTTCTCACCACAGAACAACATGGTGAAAGACATTAGCACTCTCCTTCCTAGCAGATGTTTTTGTACTTTAGGGGGGTCTTGTAGGAATTTTATAGGTTAATGATGCATTTATGAACAAGTCCTAAATGCTACTTTCACTAAAATGAGAGTTCTATATCACAGATAATTCTTTGAATTAGAAATACTGTTTAAGATGTAACCATATTTTTTGTTCTAACATGAAGGGCAGCTACTACTTTATAACAAATAAAGTATTTTATGGTTAGGCTGGCTGATACTTTGCACTGTCTTTAAATACCTGAAATATGTGTGTGTTAATTAGCAGCATAAACTAATTTCAGTAGCCATAAAAATAATTGCGAGCGTGTAAAAATACCTAAGGTGTTTTGGTTAGTCCTGAGTGACAGGCTGCTGTAAATTTTTTTCTATTTGTTTCTTTTAATGGCTAGTATTACCTGTGATACATCAAAATGTGTTATAATGTGACAAAGTAAAGTATGTCACTCTGCACCACAAAGTAGTTCTGTTTCCATTATGGATTGCTAAGTAGTATGAAAGCCAAAAAAATCTTTCAACTCCAGAGACACTAAAAAATTTACTGAAAGAAAATACTTTACAGAGGATTTGATAGAAAGATGTTTACGTGATGTTTTCTTCTAAAGTACTTTCTTGATAGGAAATTATTTTGATGAATATTTTCTGGCTGCATCAGGTGGTTGAAGGGAGTTAGCAGACCTGCCATTGCAGCCTGGTTCCCAGTTTTGCACCAGAGGTTACTGGAAGTTTCTAACTGAGAGTGTCCTGGGCAATGTGCCCAGTCCTCTACGATGAGGGTCCCTCCT